GGGGCAGGGGGGGGGTAGGACGGCCACTACCCGCGCCCCCGCGGTCCGCCCTAGCTCGCCACCCCCACCATCCCCATGGAGAAGGAGGAGCTACCCGAGCGCCCGAGGGCGAAGCATAGGACAGCCGAGACATCCCATCCCGACAATAATAAGTACCAGGCCTGGGGTTCGCCCCCACCGAGGGCACAGTGACCCCTAGCCATAGCGGGACGAGGTGGGACAGCCAAGACCCCCACTTGAAGTCGGCGCATGGAGGCCATGGGCGCCCACTACCATCAACACAACACCAGCAACGAGCCGACTTCCCAACGACCCAACCAGCACGCTCGACAACCCACACTCAGCCAACAAACAAACGACCGCCACACCACAACCACTCCTCTACATCAGCACCTACCTGTACTGTAGCGTCGGGGGCTACATGATTGAGGGCATTGGATATACTACGGTTGGTCGAGTACCATGATTGGGCATGGCATACGCAGGAGTACCACCTCGACCAGCACGACTGGGACGAGGGACACAAGTTCGAGCACTACAGAGCCAAGCAGTACTGCAGGCTCGAGAACATCAGAGTCTACCAAAAGAGAAGGGGCAGCCTGCCCCTCGGCGTGGGATACACAGCGCGAGGCGCCGAAGGGTGTATCCCCGTCGCCCTCGCGTGGCATGCGAGGGGCCGAGGCCAGCTGGCCCTAGTCGGCACGATGAGGAGAGAGCAGCCGCCAGTGCTGGCCTGCTGGAGCCCATGAGTGGCTCGGCGAGCCTCCACAGCGCGATGCGCCGAAGGGTGGAGGTCGCCACTGCGGGGGGCAGCCAGCCCCCCGAAGCCGCCCCCACGGCGGCTGGGCTCAGCGCGCCGCGCCGAAGGGAGCCCAGCCGCCACCGTGCGGCCGCCGGCCCACGAAGAGGCCGTCGGCCTGGCCGTGCGCCGTGTCGCGCTGCCTGACGCCCGCGGGCCTGGGCGCGCGCGGCGCCCGCCCATGGGCCCTGACGGGCCCTCTTTTTTTCTGAAACCCGGCCCCCTCCTCCCTCTTCTGAGGTTTATATCTTGTCCCTGGTCCTCCCTGCTCTCCTCGGGGTCGGATTCCCGGGGCCGCTGTTCGAGTGCCCGCACCGCCCTAGTGGGCCGCTGCGGCGCGCTCCGCGCCCGCGGGGCGCGCGACAAGACGCTGTGTAGCGAGAAACGTCAGAAACGTCAGGAGGAGGAGGAGGAGGAGGAGGAGGAGGAGGAGGAGGAGGAGGAGGAGGAGGAGGAGCGGGGGGCGGAGAGGCCGACGGACTGAGAAAGCCGCGCCCTGGCGGCGCATTGACAACGTGTAGAGGGCATCAATAGGGGGAAAACAAAACTACCTCGCTTTTGACCACCCTCGCTTCCAAGAGATACCAAACGATGCCAAATTGCAGCCTGTACTGGTCAGGCCGCTTGACGAGGAGGCGCGTGGTATGGCTTGGTTTTGCCTGGAAGCGAAAGCGGGGTAGGTAATTCACGCTCTGAATCAAGAGGGCACACCTGCGCAACATGCGTGCGAGGTTGCACGACAGCCGACCAGGCACCTGCGCCCGAACCGCTGTCCTGGCGCACGGCGAGGGGGCGGGCGGAGAGGGGCGGGAACGAACATGACATGAGATGGTTCGATGGCAACTCACGGGAGCCTCCCGTACCATCTTGCCGGCTCTTGCAAACCGACGCTAATCGACGCTAAATCGACGCCAATCGAAGCTCTCTCGGCGCGGTCTACTCGACCCCCGGACGCGAATCGACGCTGGCCGACGAGAAAGCGGAAATGAAGAGGGTACTCCAGACTTCGTAATAAAAGGGAGGGGGTCTGGACCCTCCAAGACAAGCCATTTCAGACCTCCCCCGTGGGAGAACCCTCCAAAACATCGCCCCCAGACCCCCCCAGGCCCTCCAAGATAGCCTGGAAGAGACCCCCCCCAAATGAGACCCCCCTCCTTTTATTACGAAATCTGGAGCACACCAGGCTTTCATGATTTGCTGCCGAAGGGAGCCCACCCCGCCCCTCTCCGCGAGTCCTCGCAGGTCCGACCTCGGCCGCGGCCCCCCCACGCGCGCGCCAGTCGGCGGCGCGCCCCCGTGAGGGGAACCAGGGCGACGATGAACCTCCTCCTCCTCCTCCTCCTGCTCCTCCTTCTCCTCCTCCTCCTTCTCCTCCTCCTCCTCCCCCTCCTCCTCCCCCTCCTCCCCCTCCTCCTCCTCCTCCTCCTCCTCCTCCTCCTTCTCCTCCTTGTTCCCCTCCTCGTCCTCCGCCTCCGCCTCCTCCTCCTCCTCCTCCTCCTCCTCCTCTTCCTCCGGAAGAGAAGGCTCAGGAGCTGGCAGCCTGTCGGGGGCCTCTTGGAGGCTGGGGTCCTCTGGAGCTGCCTGGACGTGTCTGAGGGCTCCGCGGAGGCTCTCCCAGGCCGCCTTGGCGCCATCTTGGGCTGCCTCTTTGGCCGTCTGGGGGCCTCCTGGGGCTCTCTCGGGGGCCTCTTGTGGGGCGCTCTTTGGGACCTCTGGGACGCCTCTGGAGCTCTTGTGGGCCGTGGTGGGCCCTTCCAGCAGCGATTCCAAGACGATGTTGAGTCTGAGCGGCGAACGTATCCATGTCAGCGCCTTCGCGGTCTGGATTCCGGAGCGCGATCCTGCGGATACGGCGGTCGCACAAATACGTTCCCCGCGGGGCATCCGCGAACGAAAGCGCCCCCGTAGCCGCGGGGGGCCGCGGCCCAGAGGCCTGGCCCGCGAGGCCGCGGAGATGGAAGGTTGGCAGCAACACCAACATCGGCGGTGTGCCTCTGGCAAAGGAAGATGACCCCGGTCCAGGTGGTGGTGGCAACACTCGGGCTCCGAACCATCCCCACCAGCGCCGAAATCTGTAGGGCTCTCTTCCCCCCGTGGAGGCCCCCCCCCGTGTGGTGGTGCTGGCGTCCGCTTCCGAGCCTCCGGCACGGACATGCATCTTGCCCCGCCCACGCGGGGCCGCGGGCGCCCGAGCAGGGGCCGCGGGGAGCGGGGGGCCCGGAGCTGTGGCGCCCGGTCTCCCTCCACGCGCGCCCCGGCCACCGCCCCATGGCAGCCCCGCCCCGTGTTCCTCGCCATCGCTCGGACGTCCCCTCCCCGTGCACTCGTCGGGGGCATGCGCGCATCGTTCGCGAGGGAGGATCCAGGATGCTCCTCGACCGCCCCCGCCGAGAGAAAAACGCACGCGCCGGAGCGATGCCGCACACACCTGGGAGGCCCCGACCCGCTCCCTGCAGGGGCCCCTTCCTCGTCCGGAGTCCTCTCCCGAGGGCCCGCGGGGTCCTGCGAGGGTCCCGGGAGGCCGAACGCTGTCAGAAAGCACACACCGTCGTGTTGTCCTCAGCAGCCAGCCTCGAACTGGATCCCTATCCCTGAGATTGACACGCCAAAAGGCCATGACAGTCTTAGGGATGCACCCTCAGAAACTGAGGGAATCCCTAAGATCGCCATCGTGACGAGGCGATGCCCAGCATAGGGATAGGCATAGGTTCCAGGCTGGTAATTTAGGCGGGGACATCCGAGCCCTACACCCACCGACCATCGATTCTGCTGACTCCGTGGGCGGCGGGGGTAAGGTTCGGATTTCGCCACGTGCTCGACAAATTCCGAACACTCCCACCGCCGCCGGCGCCTATCGAGCTGCCTGAATCGTTGATCGGCGAGGGTCGGCTGGATTCGGATGCCGCCGACGATGCTCTGCACGGCGCGAGCATCTGGAAACATACGCGACCGCCGACGCTGTCCGGTTTCGGCCGACTTTGAACAGGAGCTGGAACATAATGGGATTAGACTTGGATCGAATGCGTCCGGCAGCGAAGGAGATGCGAAAAACGAGGAGGGGGAGGAGGAACAGGGAAGGCGAGGAGACGCAGGGAGGGCAGTCCAAATGCTGCCCAAATGCAGGAAAGGCTGATTTCAATGTCGCCGCCCAAGGCCCCCACGCCTGTGGGAAGCAGCAGGAGTCGAGTCGGAGATCGACTACAGACTTGATTCACTTCAAACTTGGTGTCCTCGTCGAAGCTATGAAAGGTGCCAAGAGTGCTCCGCAGATCCACGGACAAAAAAACTAATAGAGGCCTCCTAGATGGGGTCCGAGTAGATGGGGTTGGAGGATCGCACCACAACGCCGATACATCCGCGATGCATCGGCGATGCATCGGCGATGCACCGGCGATACATCGTCGACATCGGCGACGTCGACGTGAAGCAAAACGGGCTCCACATCCAGCCGCGTCGCCTATGCATCGGCTATGCGCGATCCTCCGACCCCACATGCTCGGACCCAATCGGTGAGGCCGTCGATTTGAATCGACCTTGAATCGAACCTGAGTCGAACCTGAGTCGAACCGGAGTCGACCTGGAGTCGAACTGGAGCCGAACTGGAGTGTGCCCCAGGAAGGTTCCCCAAACGAGCATCGAAGTACATCGATTATGTGATCGACCTCCCCCTCGAAGGAAGGGGGCGTGAGTATCGTTTAACTGGTCCCCATCCCCAGCGGCGTGGCCTGGGCCCCACTGGCCGACTTCCTCTCCTAGATGGGGATATAGGTCGTTCCCTTCGGGCTTCGAGGGGTATCCCCAACTTGGGTGGCAATTCGGTGGGGGTCTCGAAGAGGAGGGGATGGGGATGGGGATTGATGGGCCTGTTTCCCACAACCACCACCACCACCAAAGTTGGAGAGGGGAAAGAGGGGAAGGACGAGGTGCGGGGGGACGAAGAGGAGGAGGAGGAGGGGGAGGAGGAGGAGGAGGAGGAGGTAGAGGAGGAGGAGGAGCAGGAGGAGGAGGAGGAGGAGGAGGATGTAGAGGAGGAGGAGGAGGAGGAGGAGGAGGAGGAGGAAGAGGACGAGGAGGACGAGGAGGAGGAGGAGGAGGACGAGGAGGAGGAGGAGGAGAAGGCGGAGGAGGAGGTGGTGGAAAACAGGCCCATCAGGGGATTGGTCAAGCGATACCGCGGGGCGCAGGCAGCCCGCGAGGCGGCCTGGCGCTCCAGCGCGTGCCGCGCCCCCAGCTCCGCGCCGGCCAGCTCCTGGACCCGGGCGGCCAGGAGCCCCCGGCAGGCCCCGCGGCCCTGCAGCCCGGCCAGCAGGCCCGTGGCCTCGGCAGCATGGCGAGAGGGGTGCAAAGAAGTGATGGGCAGAGGTTCCACCACCACCTTCCACATGCAGGACGGGGGAGAAGGGAGGATGAGGAGGTCCTCCTCCTCCTCAACCTCCTCCTGTTCCTCCTCCTCCTCCTCCTCCTCCTCCTCGTCCACCTCCTTGTCCTCCTCCTCGTCCTCCTCCTCCTCCTCGTCCTCTGCCTCCTCCTCGTCCTCGTCCTCGTCCTCCCCCTCCTCCTCCTGCTCCTCCTCCTCCTCCTCCTCTTCCTCCTCCTCCTCCTCTTCCTCCTCCTCCTTCTCCTCCTCCTCCCTCACCTGCCTACGGTATTGGTAGTGGAAAATGGGCCCAACAAAAAAGGTCTCTGAACAATTGCCTTGCTGGAGGCCTCCGATATATCGGGTCGAAGGAGATGGGGTCGGAGGGATCAAGCCGCGTAGCCGATGCATCAGCAAGGCATCGGCGGTGCATTGGCAATGCACCAGCGGCGTCGGCGATGCGTCGATGCCGTCGGCGTGGACTCGGCGTTCCGACATGGGGCGGAAAGGGGGGGTCTGGCTCCTATTCATCCTATGGGGGGGACTCCACCTGCTCGGACCAGGCGCCAAAAAACAACAAAAAACTACTCCATAGGGGGGGGAGGGGGTGCGAGGGCCCGCCCCGATCGGCAAAACAAGGAATACGAGAACGATCACAAAGTCTCAAAACAAGTGTTTTGTTCCGTTTGGAGGGAGTCCTCTGCTGTTATGCTGTGGGCCCCTCAATCAAGGACACAACTGTACGATGTCAAGCTCTCTTGTTATTGGATGCACCCAGCCCGGTTGAGCGTGTGCTTCAGTCTTGAGCGTGTGCTTCAGTCGAGGGCTCTTCCTCTCGACACCTGCAGCCAAGGACGCAAACAGAAGGAGACACATCGCGCTGCATGCGTTACCACCTGCTCTGCAACTCTCTGCTCTGTCATTGCAGCGTTTTGGGGGGCTCATCTGTTGTCGTGCTTTGGGGTCCTCGTCTCGCCGTACGGCATGTGCGGGCTGCCGTTTATGTCTGCTTTGGGCTGCCGTCTTGATCTGCTTCGGTTGGCCGGCGACCGACAAGTTGACACCGTAGCAAAAACACCCCCTCCGTGTATAAAATCATCGATTCGGTTTGCCCGTTGGCCCGAACACCCTGCTCGCCGCCTGCCTCTTCGCTCGCGGCCGCGACCAAAAAAAAAAGTATAAAATCATCGATCGGGCGTTGGCAGGACTGGGTGTAGGGGGGACCCTGCATGGTGATGTGTACCGGGGGGGCGCCCCCAGCGTCCGTCCTGCTACTCATCATGGCCGTCACCCGAAGAAACACCAACTACGGCAGACTTGATTTAGTGATTCTGGCATTCTGTTTTGGCTTCGGGGCCCGGCTCCCCTTGCCCAGTTTCTGAGGTGCACTAGTAGGGGGGGACTGGCATAAGGGGGGGACATCGACCTGGAATCGGCGATACATCGCCGACAGGTCGGCGATAGGCCCCCGACATTGGATCCCACCTTCCTGGGTTGGGGCTATCGGGCCCCCATCCGCGATCATGCGGCGATTGGGGGTCGATGCACTCCTCTCTCCTGTGCCTACCCCTCCCCCCCTGTCGTTCACCCTGAGGGTCCTGGTCATACAGTGGGAGCTCGACCACAAGAAACCTTCCACAAGAAATCTAACCATGAGACCCCATGACGTCCATCGACTTTCGGTGTGGGAACGTCACGCCTTTCATGACAGAGCCATCGCAACCCAAGAAACCCAGCGCACCCTGGAGGCAAGCAGGGTGTTTCTTTTTGGAGTCCCGGAACGGTGCGGTGACAGACCGTGCGGTGACCTCGAACCCCAAGAGACCTCACCGCACGGTCCGTCCGTCACCGCACGTTCTTGGAACCCTGGAGGCTCCTGGCGCCCGAGACATCCTCGGAGAGGGACCCGAGCCCCAAAACCGTGCGGTGACCCCGATATCCCCATCGACCCACCACACGGTGAGGTCACCACACCGTTTGGGGGACCCCGATCCTTGGCATGGATCTCAAGTGTACAGTCGGGGCGTTGGCCTAAGGAACCCTGAATAAGGAATGAGGCCCCTCTCATCCATAAATGAACCTTCGATCTTCCGACGGACAGCTACGGAAAACCGGAGGCAACCTGTGAAAAGATCAAGGGACGCCGAGCCCCTCCCCAAGGAAAAAGGGTTTCTTCTTCAGCGCCCCGACTTTGGACGCCCAAAATGGGTACCGAAAGAATGGGTACTATGCCCAACAGCAAATGTTGTCCCGCACCAACAGCGGCCGCTGTTGGGCAGGCGGCCTCCTGTCTCGAATGGACACAGGCCGCGGCGGCGTGGACAGCGAGTCCTGTTCAGAATGAACAAGAGCTGCTGTTGGGCATCGTACCCATTCTTTCAGTACCCATTTCGGGCGTGCAGACCGACTGCACCTCCGGCACTGAGCCCCAGGCCGGGCCCTGGCACTTCTGGCGCCGCCGCCAGAACTCGCCGCGCGCGGCCTCCTGGCGCCGGCCGACCTCTCGCGGGGCCGGGCGGCGGGCGGCGGCGGCGGGCGCCGCCGGACGAGAGCGCGACTCGCTCGCGCCGCTGTCGGTTCGGTCCCGATGGCATCAGGTCGGGCATGTCCCCCTACAGGCCGATGTTGCGCGAAGAATGTTTTATATAAAAAACAAATGCCCCAACATACCTCCAACAGATACACCTCGCCCGCTGAGCCCACCCCCTCCCCCCTTCTATGACTCGGCGGTGGACGAAGCTCCCTTCAGTAAACCACCCTTGAGCAAGAACGGCCCAGGACCGAAACCGACGGACCTGGACCCGCAGAAATGACGGCCGCGACGCCCGCTCGCGAACCGAAAACGGCCGCTTCGCTGATCGACGTGTCCGGGTGGGAGGTCGATCAACCTCCGCATGGCGGTGCCCCCGAAGCAGGTCCGCCCGCATCCCCCCCCCGCAGAGCTACCGCCCCCCATCCGCGCGACCTCCTCGAGCGCGTGGGCCTGCCGCTCGAGCGCCCGCTGGGAGAGCAGCTCGTCCACCTGGGCAGGCCGGAACGGGGCGCCCCCACCCCCGCCCACCCAGGGGCTCTCTCAGAAGGAAGAAGAAGCATAAGAGGAAACAAAATAATAATAATAATAATAATAATGATAATAATAATAGTAGTAATAATAATACGAATCATACTAATACTAATAATAATAATAATAATAATAAGAAGAAGAAGAAGAAGAGAAGACATGGCATAAACATTGACTTTTGGCGCTCTGCGCGGATTCTTTGGATCTACGCTGGACCCCCCCCCTGGCGCGCGGAGCGCGCAAGGGTTGGCGCCGGAAGCGCCGCCAGGGGGGCCCAGCGCGCATCCAAGAACTCCGCGCGGAGCGCCGAAAATTCGTGTTCATGCCGGTTCTTCTTCTTCTTCTTCTTCCCTCTCGAGGACACGAGGCCCCGTGAGATCCTGGCGCTGCCACTTCGCCACAGCGGACGTTCTCTCCCGGGCCCGGGGCCCTGGGGCCCCCGATGGTTCCAGCTGGAAGCACGGCGCGGGACAATGGGGTCCTGGCAGGGCTCCGGTCGCGATTCTTGCGATGCTGCACCTGCCTTCAGCATCGGGTCGCAGGGGCCGCGCTCGGTGGCGCGCCGAGGGGGTGGCTTCTGCGAACGTTTGGTGCGTGGTGCCGCTGATTTCTGCGGACTGTTGCTGGTCCCTGTTGCTGCTTGGGGCTGCAGGGTGCTGTTTTTTGGTACCTTTGCCAGCTGACGCAACCTGGAGGGAGTGGACCCAGGAGCAAGGAAGGACGAGCCAGGAGTCAGGGTTGAGGGGTTGGGGAGTGAGAGTGGGCAGGCCTTCTCCGAAGGCTGCGGGGGCTTCTCAGGCTCCCTCCCGCCTTCTGAGAAGCCCTCCGCGGCTTCGAGCAAGGCTCAGAACGATGGTCAGTCGGCCAGGGCAGGCCATATCAGAAGGCTGCGGGGCTTCTCCGACGCCCTCCCGCCTTTTGAGGAGCCCTCCGCGGCTTCGAGCAAGGCTCAGGAAGATTGCCAGTATGCCAGAGGTCTTATGAACCTTATGAGAAGGCCCGCCCCCCCCTTGCCTTCCCCACTGGGCGCGCCGCCGACATGCGGGCGGTTGACGGGAACGGTTAAGCTGCCGCGACACTGGATCCTCTGGACTCCCATGACTGCACTTGAGGGCAGTCGTCCTGGATCTCTGGGGTGTAGACCCTTTCCCAGAGACTGGTCTTTCATCCAGAGTCGTGTTTTTACGGCCCTGGGGCCCAGTGATCGCCCCCGCCTGGAAATTCAAAGAAACAACAAAAACTGCAGGCGTTGACTTGTCAGACCCCTGCCGCCTGGCGAATTCCGAGCTCTACCCCCGCCGCCTGCCGAGTTGCCTGACCGCTGATCGGCGAGGGCAAAGTTCGGACTGCGCCGCCGAACGATGGCGCGCCGAGCGAGGCCTCCAGGGTTCCCTCACAGGGTGACGACGAACGAACCACACGCACACCCCCATACTCGTAGGTGGAACTGAGGGGGCTGTGGGTGCGTGCAGTCAGAGGGGGGTCCTCGCTCGAACGGGAGGCCCCCCCCAGGGTCCGACAGCCCGCACCAAGACACCAAGAGCCAGTCCTCCCCTTGGGTGCGGGGCATGGTGGGTATTGCTCGTGCCTCACGGGGTGCGGTTTCTCGCTTGGCGCGGCGCCTCGCGCATCTCCGACCGCCCCTCGCCCTCGATGCCCTCGACGCTGGCCGCCGACGCCTCCCACAGCCTGTCGCGCGCCTCCCGCTGCAGCGCCGCCAGGTGGCCGCCGAAGGCCTCCTGGAAGCCCGCCGCGGCCGCGGAGGCCGCGGCCTCGAGCGACTCCATCTCGCCGGAGACCCTTGGGACGCCTCCTCGACGGGGTCCGAGTGCAGTCAACCGCTCAGCTAAGGATGGGAACCTTCCCGAGGGTACCCTTTGCATCCCTGCCCCTTCGGCCCATCCTTGGCCACTACCGTTGGCCGCGCCCCGCTGGCAGAGCTTCGAAATGGCCTTCCAAGGCACTGGCATCTGTACCGAGCATCCTTATGATACGGGTTGCCTGCAGATGGGGTCGGAGGACTGCGCCACACCGCCGATACATGGGCGACGCTTCGCCGATGCTTCGGCGATGCATCGGCGATGCGTCGGCGATGCATCGCCGATGGGGGAACTCGAGCTCCACATCGACCCGAATCGCCGATGCATCGGCGATGCGGCGCGATCCTCCAACCCCACCCACTCGGACCCCATCTGGGAGGCCTAAAGCCCTGGAACGCATGTTTGTTTTTGTCCGTGATGACGCCTGTGACTGGCCCCACGTCAGGATTCGCGCCAGCGCGTGTGGGGCTGAATCATTCCTCAGCGTTTCAAGACGGCGCCGGAGCGACTTTTGATGTGACCTGCTCCTTCCCCGCCTCTCCTCCCCCTCTCTGGTCACGCACGTTATCGCCAGGGGATGCAACATCGGTCTCCTCCTGGGAGGCATTCGTAAGAATGACTACAAGGAACTAGCGCCAGAATGAACCCGATTGAAACCAAAATTACGCTGGATTCAAGGGATCACAATCGGTATTCAACGGGATCCGGCCAGATTAGGCCAGTTCGACCGCGGATATACCAGCGCCGATGCTGAATATGACCTCGAAGGAAAGGCGGCTGTAGGGAGGCCACCGAAAGGCGAACGCGCCCACAGAGAGAAACAAAACGGCACAAGAGGCAATTTCTTCAGATTCTGGCAGTTGACTTGAATGGCGGGGGGAGGGGGAAGGGGCGTGGCGAAGCGCCAAAAGGAACCTGAACTTCACGCAACCCGGGACTCCCTTGCACGCCGTTTCGGCCGAGCGCTGTGTGAGGCGGCGGAGGGGAGATGAGTAAACCGAGTCTCAAAAAAACAAAACTCAAAGCATGAGCTTTCGGAGCTCCGCGCGGGTTTCTTTGATCGACGCAGGGGACCCCCCGGCGGCGCGCGGGGCTCGGCGCCGCTCCGAAATACGCGCGGGGGTTCGAGAATTCATGTCGTTGCCGTTTCCTCCTCTTCGAGCCACGCCACGTGATTCGATTGCTGCGTACGATAAGCAATACCAGCGCCCCGGACCCTTGGGGGGGGGCACCTGAGTTAAGTTAGGCGGCCCGAAGACATTACGGATAGGGCTTTGTCTGCAGAGGAATCAAACGAAACCACCCGTATGCTTGGGGACATCCCTAATACTGGGCACCCGAGTCAGGTCGCGAACTCATGTTGCAATCAGGGCTCGGGACCGTACTACGCTTCGTGAACAGGGGCCCCCGAGTCTGCGAGGCCCGCCTCGTGACGCGAGCGCCGATCGCGCAGCGCATGCTCTCGAAGCCCACGGAAAGTCATGCACGAGTGCGTTTCTGGTTCATCTTTAGGTCGGGCATGTCCTCCCACAGGCGGATTTTGGAAGAAACAACTGAACTGGATATAAGCAACGCATTCAAAACTGTTCAACAATAGTCGAAAAGTCGTCCCCAGCTTGCTTTTGAATGTGCCCCCTGCAGAGGGACGTGCCCGACTTGACCCGAGTGAAAGGGACCCTACCAAGAGGGGAAGCTCTGGCAGTGTGCGGCCCCCGTCAGCCTGCGCCTCTTTGGGAACCGGCTCGGTATGCGAGGCTCCCGGGGCCCGAGCAGAGCAGCGAACAGAGCGGCCCGTGGGGAGGCGGGAAGTCCGCCTGCCCGGGCAAGGCGTCGGGCCGACCTGACGGGCGAGGTGCGAGAATATACTCTAAAAGATGGAAGTGTGAAGCGACAGCAGGATCAATGGGACCCGAAACTTGGCGCTCTCTCCCACAGTGGAGAAAACGACGAGGGGGACGAGGAGGAGGAGGAGGACGAGGAGGAGGAGATGGACGAGGAGAGGAAGGAAGACGAGGAGGACGAGGAGGAGGAGGAGGAGGAGGAGGACGAGGAGGAGGAGAACGAGGAGGAGGAGGAGGAGGAGGAGGAAGAGGAGGAGGAGGAGGAGGAGGAGGAGGAGGAGGAGGAGGAGGATGGCCGTGGAAAAACGACAACGCCAAGATCTCAGTGGAGGGACTGCCTCCCTGCAGAGGGGGCGAGGCCAGAGAGGAGGCCTTCGCCGTCGCGCCCGGGCGGCGGGGCCGGGGGCCAGCTGGCGCGGGGGAGGAGCAGGGAGGGAACGAGCGAGGCGGAGAGGAGCGCCGCAGCAGCAGGAGGAGAAGGCAGGAGGAGGACGAGGGGGACGAGGAGGAGGAGGAGGAGGAGGGGGAGGAGGAGGAGGAGGAGGAGGAGGAGGGGGATGAGGAGGGCCGGGAGGATCGTGGGCTTGGAGGAGGAGACAGGGGGAGGAAGGGAGAACGGGGGGTGGAGAAAGAGGCACGATATGGGGGAGAGGGGAGGAGGCAGAAGGGAGAAGATAGGGGGGGGAGGAGGAGGAGGAGCAAGAGGAGGAGGAGGAGGAGGAGGAGGAGGAGGATAGAGAAGGGATGGGGCGGGACCGAGCGGAGGAGGGGGGGCGGGAAGAAGCGACCTTGTAAGTGCCAGCCTGAACTCAAATAATTGTAACGCGGGTTCGTGTCATGTCGACACCGGCGTTGATTCCTGACACCGCGGGGATCATTCCACCCTGAACGATCGGCCATGTCCGAAGCGTCAGATCGATTAACACCGACTGATATTCAGGGTCGCTGGCCTCTCATCTTGAGTGCCAGCGGCGGAGTTGCCGCCGGTCGACACGATGCGAACGTACTGTACAGTCGACTCGTATCGTCAGGATGCGCGATAAGGATGCAGGGGCCTTGCACGCCCATTTCGAAGCTTTTCGAGCGAGGCGCGGCCAACGAAAGTGGCGAACGAGGGACCAATCACAGGGAGGCAAGGATGAAAGGATGCCCGTGGAAAAGTCGCTCATCCATACTATGCGGGTCGACTGTGCTGGCAGTGCGCCAGAGTCGGCCGTTGCAGGCCGAAGGCCCCAGAGCGGACCCGCCAGGAGAGGCTCCAGGCTTCGGCGGCCCCTCCCCCAGTGCCTGTGCACCTCGCGCAAGGCCCGCCACTCCGCGGGCCCGGGCGCGCCAGCGGCCCCCAGGGCGCTGAGGCGCAGCGCCGACCTCAGCAATCGCACGCAAGCGCACGCAAACTCTTTCGGCGTCGCGGCCTCGCGCGCTGCGTCGACCGGCATCGCGCCCGGGGCGGACGAGAAGGAGCAGGGCTTCCCAGAAGGCGGCGGGGCTTCTAAAAAACCCTCCAGGCTTCTGAAACTTCGGAAACTTCTCAGAAGGGTGGATGCCCGCCCCTGAACTCGCCACCGACACACACAGACACATATACGCACGAAAAGACGCCTGTTTTTCTGTCGCGGCCGGCTGGTCCAACGCAGCGAGCTCTGGGGCGGGACACGCTCAGGTCAGTTACCATCACGCTCTGCAGGCGGATGGCGAAGACATGGCTGACGTGTGCAGCGTCGCGGCCCCGCGCGCAGAGACAGGGTGGAGAAAGTCAGCGCAGTGGGCGCGCGCGCGTCTAGGCACACACACACACACACACACATCTTGGCTGGCGTCGCGGCCACGCGCGCAGCGGCGATGCGCAGGTCAGGTCAGGCGAGCGCGCGGTCGGGAACAGCTCACGCGGGGGAAATGCACACACCGTCTAAACCTCGTTTCCTGGGGCGGTGGGAGGCCTGGAAGAGGTGTAGGACGAAGAGATGTCATGGTGCGATTAGCGCAGGATGCGTTCCAAGAATTCTGGCGTAGCTAACGGCCCGTGTAGAAAATAGGAACTCTGGAACATCCGGGCAACGTCCGAAATCTTGAAAAGCATAATCACATGAACTTCTTGCTCCTCTTCTGCGTGTAGGAGGAAGCACCACGACACATTAACTCATTTGACAATTCCGGGGGGGCCATTGGGAGTAAGGAGTAAGACAGCCCATTAGAAGCCTCAAGATGGTCTCTTCGGAGGCAAGATCTCCTATCGGATATCCAAATCCGTGAGGTAACCCTGAGACAAACCTATTGGAATCCGCCGACCCTGTCGGCGTGTGTGAGGGGCTTGGCTGTTCGAGTCGTCGTCTCCGTCAGTCGTCGTCTCCGTCGTCCCCTTTCCCTGCACCCTCCTCCTCAAGCTTGCCAGCGAAAGAAAGAGCTAGCAATGTCGTAATCGAGCAGAAAGGAAGCGCCTTCCCTTTGATCCCTTCCCCGCGCCACCGGGGGGAGGTCCCGGGAGGGGTCCTGGGGGGGTCCCGGGAGGGGTGCTGGAGGCGTCCTCGGGGGTTCCCGGGGGGGGGGGGCGCCGCCCAGATGCGTTTCCCGTTTCCCCTCTGGGCGCCGTGGCGCCTCAGAAAGTACCAAGCCGCCGAGACGGGGCAAGGGGGTCGCCAAACGATCGGTCCAAAACGCTCACGCCCTCCAGGCTGCCCAGGAGAGCTCCAGGACGCCCCAAGACGCCTCCAGGAGCTCTCCCAAGAGGGCCCCAGAGGCCAAATTCACGAATTTGTCGCTGGTTGTTTTAAGATTTTGGCGTTCTCGCCTTTTCCACTTCCCGCCGCTCCACAACGGCGCCGGAGGCCCCCAAGATCTCCCCAAGACGGCCCAAGAGGCCTGCAAGAAGGCCCCAAAACAGCCGAAGAGGATCCCAAGACAGCCCAACACGCCTCCAAGACTGCCCCAGCCTTGGACTATCTACCTAAAGAACAAATCGCACGCCTTGCTTTTTCACGAAGCGAGGAGGGTATGGAGCTTTCAGGCCGCGACGCGGCTCCCCCACGGCCCTGGGGAACGATCGGGACACCCCGGAACGCGCTCGGCGAGGCGCAGCTGCTGGAGAAAGCACCCTGGGGCCAGAAAGCCGCCAGGAACCGACGAAGAGCCCAAAAACCTAGGACCTCGGACCCAAACCTGAACCTCCCCCCCCTTAGACACCAATTCACGTGAGCTCGGATCGTCTCCTATGGCGCCCATTTGGGCGCCCAATCGCGCGCAAATCGGACAGGATGCATATCTCTCACATAATTAGCGCGTTGTCACTGTTGGGCGCTATTTGTCCGCTATTTGGGCGCTATCGGGGCGCTACTGGGCACTAGGGAATATTATTCGGCGCTATCGGGCGCTAATCTCAAATATGCATTCAATTCACGACGAACTGAACCTTCCGTGACCTACTATACAACCCCTCTTCCTGCTGACCCGTCGACCGCCACTGCCGGCAGAGCTCGAAGCGCCGCCTCTGCAGCGCGTGGAAGCGGCACAAACCTGGAGGAACCGAAAAGTACCGATGCCGCTGCTCCCCAGACCTCTCTTGGAGTTGGGCGCCCGAATTATCGGGGGTAACTCGGGTCTGGGGTAACTCGGTTTTGGGTTCCCGAAAAACGAACCCGAGGTAGCCCTGACCCGAGTTACCCCTGATGATTCGGGGCTCTGGACGCCCGAATTATCCGGGGTAACTCGGGTCCGGGGTAACTCGGGTTCGGAATCCCGAAAAACGAACCCGAGTTAGCCCTGACCCGAGTTACCCCTGATGGTTCGGGGCTCTGATGGAGTGCGTTCTGGCCAAGATTTCCAGGCGAGTCCAGTACCGACGAGGGGCTCTCAGGAGGCCCAGCAGGTCGAAAGGCAGGGACGGGTAGCGGTATCGGAGCAGGTTTGTGTCGTGAAGGCTCGGCAGTTGGTTTCTGACACCGCGCGGATCGCTCAAACCTGGACGACCAAGGCTTTCCGATAGCGCAGACGATGCAGTGCTGGACGCATGACTGCTGGCGGCGTTCAAATTTGAACGCCAGCGGTGCGGTCGTCGCCGAGTCGACACAGCACGCACGAACCGTGCTCTGGGCGTTGAATTGCTAGAAAGGGGGGGGGGTCTGATTTGGGAGCGTCCAATTCGAGCTGTCTTGGAAGGTGTTCCAGGGGGTGTGGGCTTAAAGCCACCCTTGTCACAGCTGGTCGGGGGGGGGTCTCAAACTGCTCGTCTGAAGGGTTGTGACCTATTCCTTGATGTCGCTCGGAAGCCCATTTCCCGTGGACGTTTCGATTTCGTGCGCTTCTTGATTGCGCAAGATGATCCGCAGTGCTCCTCAATCGTCCCCGCCAAGAACGACGCACACGTCAAAGCAGTGTCATCTGGAAATCTGAAATCGTCCCTTTCATTCTGAAATCTGGAACATGCCGAACACGGCCGCCGAGGCGCCCCAAACGGCCCCAAGAGCACTTCAAGCGACCCCCAACAGGCCTCAACAAAAATCCAAAGACGCTCTGCATGCAAGGCTGTGGAAGGACAAGGAGGAGAAGGAGGAGAAGGAGGAGGAGGAGGAGGAGGCGGAAGACCAGGGGAGGGAGGTGACACGGAGGAGGAGGAGGAGGAGGAGGAGGAGGAGGACGCGGACGACGACGACGAGAAAGAGGAGGCGTGGACTCGGCGGTTTTCGGCCGTGTCCGGCCCTTTCCTCCCCTGAAGGCCGGCGCCGGCGGCTGGCCCGTCCCCGGCAGCCAGGCCCAGCGCCAGCGCCCGGCGCACCAGCTCCGTGCACGGCACGAGGCCGGCCGAGGGTGCCGAGGCCGGGGCCTCCTGAGGCAGGGTCCGAGGAGCTCGGGAACCCCTCCTCCTCCTCCTCCTCCTCCTGCTTCTCCTCCTCCTCCTCCTCCTCCTCCTCCTCTTTCTCCTCCTCCTCCTCCTCCTCCTCCTCCCTCCTCCCTCCTCCTCCCTCCTCCTCCTCCTCCTCCTCCTCCTCCTCCTCTCCTCCTCCTCCTCCTCTCCTCCTCCACCTCCACCTCCTCCTCCTCCTCCTCCTCCTCCTCCTCTCCTCTCCTCCTCCTCCTCCCGGCCCTCCCCCTCCCCCTCCCCCTACGGCCCCGGAGCTCGGGAACCCGTGAGAGCCTGTGGGCGGCAGCGATCTCGAGCGCGAAGGATATCCTTACCCTCACCTAGACAAGGTGGTAGGTGGCGGGGGGAAGACTTGTCTCCGCTGACGGCGGCTGCACAAGTTTAGAAGCGACGGCATATTCAACATCACAGGACGCTGTCTTACAATGGCAAGCGCCCAGTCCCGCGGGCGGCCCATCTCACCCTGGCTGACCACAGGTAAGGGTATGTTTCGGACCAATGGAACGATGTTTATGGTTGGAGTTGCAAACATGGCGTGCAACATCGATCTTCGGAAAGCAGGCTATCCCTTTGAGGCGATCCCCCAGCGAGGGCACCTTGTGCGCACGCCATTCCCCTGCGAGGGCCTCGTCGGTGCACGCCACCCCCAAGGTGGGGGATCGCACGCACCGACAGGCGGGGGGCTCAGCGAGTCCTCCTCCGAGGCGCAAGCGACAGCTCACAACTGCTCGGCAGGTGCATCTCCCCGGGTCGCGGGAGAACAACGGTGGGGTTGGGGCAGGGTTGGAAGGAAAATCGCTCCGAACCCCTCCGAACCCCCTGGAAGAAAGACACGCGTGAAACGGGAGCGTCCAGCTGGGCCCGTTCCCTGGCCCCACCTTGGGATCACCCTCCCTCTGCGACCCCCCGGCCGGGGAGACGGCCGCCGCACAGGACGGGCAAGGAAGAAGACGGGGGCGCGGGAAGGCTCTCCCACTTGCCCTTCCTCCACTCTCCCTACCTTCCTATGCCCCCCTCCTCTCACGCGCTGACGCGGCTCCAGAGGGATCCGTGGATCTGCCGCGTGGGTGCCAGGTCCACGGCTCGCGAGGCCAGTGCCCCTCGAAACGTGAGGCCAATGCCGCCTCACTCGACGACGGAGCGTGCCTGCTCTGCACCAAAGCGGGACCCGTCGCCAATTCACGCGCTTGCATCCGCGCTTGCTCTTCCTCGAGATGGACAAGAGAGGGGGAAACGCTGTCCTCCTCCCCTCCCCCACCTCTCCATCCACCCTCCTCTTCTTCTCGGTCGAATTCCCCCATTCCCCTTCCTGGACCTCGTCCTTCTCCCATCTTCCTCTTCCTCTCTCTCTCTCTGTCCCCACCTCCTGTTTATGCCCCCTCCCAAACCAAGGACGGGGGCAAGGGGGGGGAGCGGGGAAAATAGCACGGCGAGCTGTGGGGGAGCAGCAAAGGGGGGGGGGGGGGCGCCTCGAAGCCCGCTCGCTCCTGCAGACGGGGAGGGGGCGTGGGAAGAGTGGCGTGGGGAGAAAAAGAACGCGCAGGGGCAGGCGCTTGACTTGATGTTCAAAACGCTGGGGGAATATGTTACAGTATGTTGTTCAGCCATTTTGACTTTTCGGCTTTCGGCTAAACAACCGAAAAGACGGCAACCCACAACAGAAACAAAAACGGCAAGGCAGAACGAAACCAAACAGAATACGGCAAGATCGAGAATCCCCAAACAGAACAATAAAAACTGAACCCCAAACGAACAAATCGACGTCGACCTTGACAACGCACAATCAACGCCTCCAGAATGGTTGCCATCAACTATGGGGAGACCAGAAAGTACCACTACCGTCACTCCCCAGGGGTACGTTCTGACCAGGATTTCGAGGTGGATCCAGCGGTGGCGACGAGGGCCTCTCAGGAGGCCCAAGAAGCGCCGGAAAACGAGGGAAGGCTAGCGGCATGGGTGCCTTCTTCTCCTCTGCATCGAAGGCGCCGGACTTAAATTGTCCCAGCCGTCCTCCAGCAGCTGCCCCGCGAACACGTGGAACAGCGCCTGGCACACAGGGCACGCCGCAACCTCCCGCGCGGCGGCCCGCTGGGAGGAGGCCGCCGAGCACGCGGAGGTGCTCAGCGAAGCGGCCAGCCCCTCCTGGGTTTGGCGTCCAAGGAAAAGCGCGTTCCACTACTCGCGAAGGAACTGCTGACAAATCCTCCGATCGGAGCTCAGGGAAGGCAAGGAAAGTTTCGTAGAACAGAACTGCGAGCCTGGCGAGAAAACTGCGACGCCCAGACGCTAGAGATGTGGAGCGATCTCGGCGATTCTGAAGGGTGTGGTTTGCAAAGGGTGCGGCTTGCAACCCGCACCTGGAGTGGCGGGCAAAAATCTTCACTGAGCAGAGATTAACTGCCGCGCCCCAACGAAGGTTTACCAAACCTTTGGCGCACCGCGGCAACCCGCAAAAACAAACGGCGCCGATCGCAAACACACCCCAGCACAACCACACCCACAGTGTAAAAGGCCTCCCAGACGGAGTCAAAGTAGATGGGGTCGTAGGATCACGTCGCATCGCCAATGCGTCACCGATGCCTCGCAGATGCATCGGTGATGCATCGCCGACGTCGGCGATGCATCGGCGACGTCGGTGCGGAGAAAATCAGGCTCCACATCGGGCCGCATCGCCGATACATCGCCGATGCATGGGCGATGCTGCGCGATTCTCCGACCCCATTTACTCGGACCCCATCTGGGAGGCCTAGTGTAGTCGCCGACGATCGCTCGCTGCCCTGCCCGGGGCGGGGCTCCTGGGACATGGCGCCGACTGGCACTGCGGGGGCAGCGATCGACCACAACTGCACCGAGGACGCAGCCAAGGGCATGTCTTGCGCATGTCAAACTGCCGGAAACACCAGAATCGGCCTCGTACTGGTCCTGGTTGTGGTCGATTTGACGTCGCAGGACAGCCTAACCGACCACAGCCACGACCAAAGCGCTGATGCCCAGGTCGGCGGATTCCCCCCCGAGGGGCCCTCCCGGAAAGTCCACCTGCCCACCAGTCGGAAGAGGTAGATATCACCATAAAGCGGGAAGGCGGAGGCAGAAGATGAGGGTCGAGTCCAGGCCCGCCCAGAGCACGACAAGAAGCAGCAGCATCAGCACAGACCGGCGCACGAACCAGGAGGGCGCCCGAAGCACGCTGGGACCTGGGAGCCCGGAGACACCTGCCTCCAACGACTGGCGCCCAGTCGTTCGGGAGCGGCCAAGAGAGGGGTGTGCAAGAGGGGGGGGTGCAAATCTTGACCGGCGGCATGTGCGCGGCCCAGCGGGGGGGCCAGGGACGCAATGAAATAAGAAGAGGCGCCATGAAATCTGGGGAAATATCATGGCCCCCGCCATGATATCCACCCCCCCCCCTAGTCATCCCCCCCCTCTTTTCCGCCCCCGAGTCGTGGCTGCGGCCCCCCTGCTGCGCCCGAGGGGCGCGCGCGCGGGCGGGGCCGGGGGGGGGGGGGCGCGGGCGGGCGGCAGGCCGCGCCGCTCGGCCGGGGGCTCCGCGCCGGGGGCGGCCGCGCGCGGGGTCCCGCCCCCCCGCGCGCGCCCCCGGGGCGGGGGGGGGGGCCCGGCAGCGGGCGGGGGGCCCAGAGCCGGGCGGGCGGGAGCGGGACTGGGCTCGGCGGCGCCTGGCTCGGGGAAGGGTGCTGGAAGGCGCCCTTCCAGCCAAGAGCCTTCCTCCTCCTCCTCCTCCTCCTCCTCCTCCTCCTCCTCCTCCCGGCTCCTCCTCCTCCTCCTCCTCCTCTTCCTCCTCCTCCTCCTCCTCCTCCTCCTCCTCCGCCTTCTCTTCCTCCCCCTGTCCTGCGCGGAGTTCAACCTGGAACGCCTTCGCCAGCGTCGGGGGCGCACCATCGCCGCATGAACCTGCCGTACACAGGCCCCACAGACAGGCGGTCCGGCACAAGGGTTGGGTGCAACAAATAATTATCCCGGCAAAGCAACCTAACAGCAATGTGTAGGAGCATATCTGGAAGCATTCCCCTTAAGATTCATATGAGAATCCAGTTGTAGAATTCTGCTGTTCTCGCAGTCGCAGTCGCATTCGCGATGACAGTCGCAGTCGCAGTCGCAGTCGCAGCCACAGCCTCAGCCTGCCTCAGCATCAGCCTGCCTCAGCCTCAGCCTCAGCCTCAGCCTGCCTGAGCCTAAGCCTTAGCCTGCTTCAGCTTCAGCCTCAGTCTGCCTTCAGCCTCGGCCTCAGCCTCAGCCTGCCTCGTCAGCCTGCCTCAGCGTCAGCCTCAGCCTCGGCCTCAGCCTGCCTCAGCCTCAGCCTCAGTCTGCCTTCAGCCTCGGCCTCAGCCTCAGGCTGCCTGCATCAGCCTCAGCCTCAGCCTGCCTCAGCATCAGCCTGCCTCAGCCTCAGCCTCAGCCTCAGCCTCAGCCTCAGCCTGCCTCAGCCTAAGCCTGCCTCAGCCTCAGCCTCAATCTGCCTTCAGCCTCGGCCGCAGCCTCAGCCTGCCTCAGCCTCAGCCTGCATCAGCCTCAGCCTCAGCCTGCCTCAGCCTCAGCCTCAGCCTGCCTCAGCCTCAGCCTCAGCCTGCTTCAGCCTCAGCCTCAGCCTGCCTTCAGCCTCGCCTCCTCAGCCTCAGCCTCAGCCTCAGCCTCAGCCTCAGCCCTCAGCCTCAGCCTCAGCCTGCCTCAGCCTCAGCCTGCCTCAGCCTCAGCCTCAGCCTGCTTCAGCCTCAGCCTCAGTTTGCCTTCAGCCTCGGCCTCAGCCTCAGCCTGCCTCAGCCTCAGCCTGCATCAGCCTCAGCCTCAGCCTCAGCCTGCCTCAGCCTCAGCCTCAGCCTGCCTCGGCCTCAGCCTCAGCCTGCTTCAGCCTCAGCCTCAGTCTGCCTTCAGCCTCGGCCTCAGCCTCAGCCTGCCTCAGCCTCAGCCTGCATCAGCTCAGCCTCAGCTTGCCTCAGCATTCAAAATGTGGCCCTGGAAAGAGTTCTGGGAACTCGAAGAACACGAAGTGGCCTACAGTTGGCTCCGGGCATTCAAAATCATGCCCAGGAATGGAGTTCTGGGAACTCGAAAAGCACGAAGTGGCCTACGGTTGGCTCCGGGCATTCAAAATCATGCCCAGGAATGGAGTTCTGGGATTTCGAAGACCGCGAAGTGGCCTACAGTTGGCTCTGGGCATTCAAAATCATGCCCAGGAATGGAATTCTCGGATTTCGAAGACCACGAAGTGGCCTGCAGTTGGCTCCGGGCATTCAAAAACATGCACAGGAATAGAGTTCTGGGACCTCGAAGACCACGAAGTGTGTAACTGTTTGCTTAAAACGACTTCCGCGGATTCTCCCCGGCACCCGTCCGGCATCTGCCCAAACCCCCCTGGGGAGTCACCCCCCTGGGGAGTCATGATGCTTTCTTTTGAGACCATTAGAAACCTATCAGTCTTCGCTGTTCGGTAATCATCCTCTGGGGACTGGGTTTGGCGGGGCCTGCTTTGGTGATATGTAGCCGAAAGCGCCCCCCCCCCCCCCCCCGTCCATCCCACTATTCGGGCCTGCCGTCACCCGAAGAAGCACCAGCTGCGGCAGGCTTACATCCCACCTGCCCTCTGGGCGTGGGAGGTCTAAGGCGTTTCCTCTTCCAACCCCCTTCTTCCCCTTCGGGGAGGGGTTTAATCACTGTTCCCTATTAGTAAACACCCCCTCCCCCAGGCGACTGGGGGCCAACCAGGGTCCATGCCGACCCCCCCCACCCACCATCCCTTGTAAAAAAACGATACAAAACACACTCTGCCTCCAAAATCGGAGTATGCGCAGCCAACCCGATGCGCCCCGCCCCCCGTGGAGTTGATAAAACCGTGTGTGCGTACCACCTCGTTTTGCTGCGTTGCATCGCCATCACCAGCATCATCATCATCCTTGTAATCAATTTGTAATCCGCCACAAAAGAAATCCATTTCAAATCCGCCACAAAAGGAATCAATTTGAAACCCGCCACAAACACAATTGATTTGTAATTCGCCACAAAAAGGATCTATTTGTAATCCGACACAAAAGGAATCACTGTATATTTTGCCACAGCAGGAATCAATTCGTAATCCGCCACAAAAGAAAACCTTCTGTAGGGATGGGGTGTAAATGGTGGGTCAATCGTTACTAGGATTCTATGAGAGGTGGATCCATCTCTCATCGGATTCTATTAGAGGTGGAAATATCTGGAATGGGATGGTCTTAAAGGTGGATCCATCGCTAATAGGACCCCACTAGAGGTGGATCCATCTCAAATAGGATTCAATTACAGGTGAATCCATATCTAATCGGATCCCATTATAGGTGGACCCATATCTAATAATATTCAAGTAGAGGTGGATCCATATGTAATAAGGTGTTGTTAGAGGTGAATCCATGTGTAGCAGGATTGTATTAAAAAGGTGGACCCATCTCTGTTAGGATTCCATTTGGAGCGGATCGATCTGTAATAGACTGTCAGTTGAGATGGGCCCATCTCTCATAGGATCCCATCAATTGTGGATCCAGCTGTAGTCGGATTCCATTAGAGATGGATCCATCTGTACCAAGATTCTAATAGATGTGGATCCATATGTAATAGGATTCCATCAGAGGTGGACCCATCTGTATCAGGATTCTGGTAGGATTGAATTGGGGGTGGACCCGTTTGTATTACGATCCTATTAGAGGTAGATCCATATGTAAAAGTATTTTATTAGAGGTGGATTCATGTCATGTAGGACCCCATCAGAGGTAGGTGGACCCATCCCTAATAGGATTCTCTCAGAGGTGGACCCATATGTAATAGGATTATATTAGAGGTGGGTCCCTCTGTCATAAGGGTTCTGTTAGAGATGGATCCATCCGCGCTAGGATTCCAGTAGATCCATCTCTAATCAGATACTACTAGAGGTGGGTCCATCCTTAATAGGATCCCATTCGAGGTGGATCCATTTGTCACAGGATTCTGTTAGAGGTGGACCAATCTCTAATAGCATGCCATTGGGGATGGAACCATCTTATTAGGATTTTGTGAGAGGTGGATCCATATGTAATTGGAGTCCATTAGAGGTGTATCCATGTCTAATTTGGTTTTATCAGAGGTGGATCCATCGTTAATATAATTATATTCGAGGTGGACGCATCTGCAATGGGGTTCTATCAGACGTGGGTTCATTTGTAAAAGGATTATATTAGAGGTGGGTCCATCCGTACAAGGATTCCATTCGAGGTGGATCCATCTCTGATGTGATGCCATTAGTTGTGAACCCATCTCTAATGGGATTCCATTAGAGGCGGATCCATATGTCATGAGATTATATTTAAGGTGGTTCCATCTGTAGCGGGATCTTATCAAGGGTGGATCCATTCCTAATCGGATTCTATGGAAGGTGGATCCATATGTAATAGGATTCTCTCGGAAGTGGATCCATCTGTAGTACGATTCTATGAGAGGTGGGTGTCTTTTGTGATGACGATGATGATGATGACGAGCATGTGTTTCAAGATGCTGCTGGCGATGATGATGATGATGACGAGCATGTGTTTCAAGATGTTGCTGATGATGGTGGTGATGACGAGCATGTGTTTCAATGCGCTGCTGATGACGATGGTGATGACGAGCATGTGTTCCAATATGCTGCTGATGACGATGGTGTTGACGAGCATGTGTTTCAAGATGCTGCTGATGACGATGGTGCTGACCAGCATGTGTTTCAAGATGCTGCTGATGACGATGATGATGATGATGACGAGTATGTGTCTCAAGCTGCTGCCCATGACGATGGTAACGACGAGCATGTGTTTCAAGATGCTGCTGATGACGATCATGATGATGAGTATGTGTTTCAAGATTCTGCTGATGACGATGGTGATGACGAGCATGCGTTTCAAGATGTTGCTGATGATGATGGTGATGACGAGATGCGTTGGGAGCAATGCGTTGTCATAATGAGTTCCACAGAGCATAATCGAGTGGGGAGCACAGCCCACCAGACTAAAGTTATCCTCTCTTTACCCTTCTTCCTCCTCCTCCTCCTCCGCCTCCACCGCCGTCTCTTCCTCCTCACCCCTTTTACTTCCAGTGGGTGAGCGCCGAAGCGCGTTCCAGAGAGATTCATAAGCCTTAATATCTCGATTTTCCGGCCTCCGGAGGCCCGAAACAAACAATATTAGCGGATTACAAATTAATTTCTTTTGTTGTTGAGTTACAAAAGGGAATCCTTTGGTGGTGAACTACACATTGTTTTACTTTGTGGCAGGTTACAAAAGGATTCCTTTTGTGGAGAATTACAAAAGGACTTCTTTTGTGGAGGATCACATGATGATTCTTCTTTGTGGCGGATTACAAAGGGATTCCTTTTGTGGAGGATTACAAAAGGATTCCTTTTGTGGAGGACTACAAAGGGATTCCCCTTGATGGAGGAATACAATGGGATTCCTTTTGTGGAGGATTACAAATTGATTTCCTTTGAGGGCTCTCCTGGAAGTGTACCAGGGGACAAAAGAAAAAAAAAAAAATCCGAAAATCATTGAAAATTATGATAATTGCACGTTTTCAATGAATTTCCAATGTTTTGAAGTAAAAACATATAAAAACACAGCATTTCCAAGGTTTTGAAGCCCAAACCATATGAAAACACAGCATTTTTGTATTCGGATTGTGAAAATGCTGTGTTTTTTATATGTTTTTGCTTCAAAACATTGGAAAATCATTGAAAACCTGAAATTTTCTAAATTTTCAATGATTTTCGGATTTGTTTTTTTTTGTTTTTCTTTTGTCCCCTGGTTCACTTCCAGGAGAGCCCTCAAAGGAAATCAATTTGTAATCCTCCACAAAAGGAATCCCATTGTATTCCTCCACCAAAGGGAATCCCTTTTGTAATCCTCCACAAAAGGAATCCTTTTGTAATCCTCCACAAAAGGAATCCTTTTGTAATCCGCCACAAAAGGAAACAATTTGCAATTCACCATGAACAGAATTCCCTTTTAATTCCCCACAAAAAAACTCAATTTTAAATCAGCTACAACAGGAATCGTTCTGCATTCCACTACTTTGAGCAATCCCTTTAAAGATGACGAAAAGCATAATCAACAGGAAAGCAAGCAAATGAGAAGTAATCGACCAAAAACCGAGGTGGTACACACACACACGGTTTTATTAACCTTACCCCCTCCCCCCCCCACCATCCCTTTGAAAAAACAATATAGAGTACACGTGGCGGCGGCGGCGGCGGCGGTTGCGGCGGCTGCGGCGGCTGCAGCGGCGGCTGCGGCGGCTGCGGCGGCGGCGGCGGCGGCGGCGGCGGCGGCGGTGGCGGTGGCGGCAGCGGCTGCGGCGGCGGCGGCGGTTTGGCAGCGGGGGGCGGCGGCGGAGGCGGAGGCGGCGGCGGCGGCGGCGGCGGCGGCGCGGCGGCGGCGGCGGCGGCGGCGCGGCGGCAGGCGGCGGCGGCGGCGGCGGCGGGCAGCGGCGGCGGCGGGCAGCGGCGGCGGCGGCGGCGGCGGCGGAGGCGGCGGCGGATTGGCCCCCAGTAGGTGCCCATCCAAAGACGACTGCTGCATATGCTGAGGTTCGGGCCAGACTCGGGTGCTACGTATGTGTTGGGAGGGCGGGTGGGAGTGATCGAGACGGCTTGCGGGCGGGGAGGGGGTAGCTTGTCCCTCCCCCTACCCCCTCCCCTGGACCTGGACGGGGGCGGCGAGGCGTTGGAGCGTCCAAGATGGCCCAAGACGGCGCCAAGAGGGCCCCTGATAGACCAAGATGAGCTCCAAGATGAGTCAAGACAGCTCACGATGCCTCAAGATGACTCCCACGATCCTCCAAGAGGTCCCAAGACCGTTGCAGGACGGCTCCAAGAGGCCTCCGGGATCTCCAAGGAGGCCCCCAAGAAGCCCAAATCCTTCAAACACCTAAGGTAAATCAATGATTGCTGCTTTCTTGCCTTTTCGCTTCCGATGGCCATCCGAGGCCTCAAGATGGCTCCAAGATGGCCAAAGAAAGCCCCAGGAGAGGCCCAAGAGAGCCCCGAGACGACCCCAAAAGCGCTTCAAGGAGGGACCAGGAGGCGGTTGAACCTGCAACAAAACAGAACTGGTAGAGCAAATCCCTGTCGTTTCCAAGGCCAACTGAGCCCAGAGGCATCCGACTTGCCTCTGACCCACGACCCAGGCACGGGCGCGGGATGCAGTGACGAAGTTCGAGGGGCGTGTTCCGTTGAGTGTTGACTCGCAGCCGTCTTACCACTGGCCTGTCCCCCGAGGAGGAGGAGGAGGAGGAGGAGGTAGAGGGAGGGGAGGCAGGCAGAGCAGAGAGGAGAGAGGGAAAGACAGAAGAGAACGAAGTCCGCTGACGGAGCTGGGGAAGCAAAGAGTCATCGATACTGCTACTTCCCAGACCTCTCCAGCGCGCCTCCCGACCAGAACCCCCGAGGCGGATCCGGCCGCGCCGGCGAGGGCCCTCGTCGACGAGCCAAGCGGCGGCATCGGCGCCTCCTCCCCATCCAGCAGCAGGGGGGGGCCGGTGCCCGCTGACGAGAGAAGCCAGGAGAGCCGACGTTGCGACGGAAATGAGACATCGTGAGCATCGCGACGGGAGAGCCATGGACCCCACGTCTCTGCTCCACTCTCGAGCCGCATCGATCCGTGGTGGTCCCAGGGACCGGCACCAGACGAAGTTACAACGCCCGCTGCCAAACAAATGCAACGCCCGGGGAGGGCACAGGTGGCGGCAGCGCGCGCGGGCTGCCCGCGCGACCCCGTGGTCTTGAGCCTCCGCAGGAACTCGGTCTTCAGCTGGCCATGCACGGCCTCCGGGGGGGCGCGCAGGGGCCTCGCCATCGCTCGGACGTCCATTCCCTGTGCTTTTCTCGGTTTCGTGCGTGGTTTTCTTCGCCAAATGATCAAGGATGCACCTCGATGGCCCTCGCAGAAGGAAAAATGCACACGTCCGAGCGATGCCAAGGGGCAGGAAGATGCCCCTGCGTGGCCCGTGGCACTCGTCCGGTGCTGCCGCTGCAGGGGGGGAGGGGGGGCGGGTGTCAGGAGTGAGGCGAGGCCAGCGAAGGCCCGAGATTGCGCCTGGGGTTCGGCGGGTTGCGCCGCATTGGGCCGAGCTTTCGACGACGGGGTACACCAACCCTGACTACCTACCAGGCCACCCCAACCCAACCCGAAGACCCGAATTTCGGGTTGGGGGGAGTAAAGGTTCCAAATGTGTTTTCTCTATGTTTCCCGACCCCCTACCCACTGGAAATCGAGGGTAAATCTGAGCCTTCGGGTTGGGTTGGGGTGGTTTGGTGGGTGGTGAAACCCTGAATCCGCCGACGTGGAAGAACAGTTGCAACAGCGCAAAGCATCACGACCGGAGCCCCAGTCCCCATCCTTCTGCGTCATCGCTCGGGCTGGATCGATCTGTCAAGGTCGCGGGGCTCGACACCAGCCAAAAACGCCCAGTGTGAAACATTTGCATCGCCAGTTCGGTGGTAACTCATGGGAGCCTCCCATAGCCTCTTGCCGGCTCTTGCGAATCGGTGCGAGTCGACGCTAAATCGAAGCTAATCGACGCTAAATCGACACTCATCGACGCTAGCCGACGCTACATCGGTACTATCTCATCGACTCCCAGACAATCGACGCTAGCCGACGCCCAAGACAGGAATTCAAAGGGTACACGAGGCTCCCGTGATTTGCTACCGAAGACTGGTGTGACAAACATGCATCGCCGGGACCTCGGGGCAAAGCTTAAGTCGGGCCTGTCCCCCTACAGGCGGATTTTCGACGAAGAATAAAACATACCCCTAACATAACGAACAAACAATCCAAAAATAGGATGGGGACTACTGTTGGAGGCACCGCGGATGCTGCACCCGAGCTCCCATGGAGCTGCGCCCCCACGTGGCACCCGGAGCGTACCACCACTCCGCGGGGCGGGCGCCGCCGTGAGGCCTTTTCGGCCGCTGGGCCCGCCGTCGAGCCCCGGGAGCATCCCAAGCACTATAGGATTGGGACGAAAAACTGCCCCCGAGGAGGCGGCCAGGGCCTCCAGGCCCCGTCTCGCAAGCCCTCTCGCGTTGTGGAATCGCGGCGGGAGGTTGTCCGCTATGTTCGACCTCTGGGCACCCCCCTTGCCAGGCTTCGAGTTCGCCAGCAAAACCACTCAGGATGCACAGCAGGTCGCCAGGAAGAGGTCCATCACTCTGGGGGCCCACGTCATGAGAAAAAACGCGACGTCGGAGATCTTGAGGGAAAGGGCCGGATCTGCCACGCGCAAGAGTGACTTTGGGCAAGAGCGACCCTGGGAAAGAGTGACCTTTGGTGCGCGGCTTTTAGGGGCCCCACGGTCCCTAGAAGCCCGTGGGGCCGCACCAACGGCCACACTCTGGCGGAAGGTCACTCCTGCGCGTGGCCAACCGAAGGGCGAACCCGCAGCGCGGGAAGCCCGCAGAACGGGGACCCCCCACGGGGTCCCAGGATCCCCCTTGCGCAACACATGCAGGAAAGATTTGTATCAGTACAATACAACAATTGACGATCTCAAACCTGTGATGCATGTGATAGCTTGTTTTGCAGGCGCTCTGTGGTGAGCTTTCGCCGGCCGCGCTGGCTCGTCAGACGGCCTGGACAATCACAGGTATGGCACGGCCCTCCCTCTTGCCAGCACGCGCGCGCACAGGAGCGAAGAGGGGAGGGAAATGGAAGATACCTTCTGACTGCGCCGCTCCTTCCAGAACACATGCAGGCAATATTTGTATCCATGTCCACTGCGTCTTGGAGTTTAGGGCTATCTTCCCTAGAAACAAGGAGTGCAGTTGATATGGGTAGATTCTTACACACATCCAATGCGCCTTGGCTTTTTCGCGTCCCTTCCCAGAAATTCCAAGACGAATCGGATATGGAAATAAAGATATTAATCTTGCCCACAAGAGAGGTGTATATATACATATATATATATATAGAGAGAACAAAACAAAGAACTAGAGAGAGAGGGAAAAGAGAGAATCATGGACCACCTCCACCAGGAACCCATCGGGAGAGGGGGGTCGCGACTCCTGGGCGGTACCGCCTGAGCGTCGTCCTGTACTGGATGACGCTGGGGCGTGCCACCCCAAGGGGTCGCCAGCCCCACACCCCCCCCGCCCGAGGCGCACCTGGTGGCGGTGGTTCATGCTCATCCTCTCAAAGAATCCGCGCCCAAACACGAATCCCAGCCCTCAGGGCGTAGCTGGTTTATCTGCGGCGAGCGACGGGGGGAAGTAAGAAGGGGCGGGGCTTCTCAGAAGGCTCGGAAGTTCCCTGGGCTTCTGAGAAGTTTCCTGAGCCGTCCCCGAAAACACAGAAAACTTCACAGCAGGCGCGAGCGCCTTTTGAGAAGACCATCTCCTACAAATTTCCCCCCTCGCTCGCCGCCGAGTCTAGGGAGCTCCTTGTTCCAACCTCCTCCTGCACAATCGGGGAGAGCACTACTTCTCCTTCTACCCCCCTCCCTGGGTCTGGACCCCCCCCTCGCGACGGGCTAAAGTGTACTACTTAAGTTGGCGCAAGAAGGTTCTAGATAGCTCCAGATGGCCTCCGAGATCGCTCAAGATAGATCAATATTGTTCAAGATAGTGTCCGACATGTCTCCCCGATGTCCAAATCGCGCCAATATGGCCAAAAAGTGGCTGCGGAGCCTCCCGAGAACGCTTCTGATATCCCCCAGTTCTGCCAAAACTTAATACGACGGCATGTTGTCTACCTGATTGCCGACGCTCTCCCGATGGGATAAGGCCCAAGAGAGTCCGAAGAGGGCCCACCAGAGCCCGACAGGGCCTCCAACATGGCCCCACGATGGCCCAAATACGCTGCAAACAGGCTGCACATAGAAAGGTCCGCGACGGCACTTCTGGTTGACTCCTGGGTCTGCTCAAGTTGATCCCGATCTTGGCCTCGATGGCGTCCTCGTCTCTACTGTGTCACTCAGGAATTCCCTGGAATGCAACGGATGCGGGATGCGTGGACGTGCTCAGAACGGGCGGCAAGACATGCTCTGGTAGAGGTGCACAGAGATGCCCCGTGCCCTTTGGATCAGCCTGAGTCCCCACGCCGGGGTTGTCAAAAGAGATAGGTCCTGGGGAACCCACGCTCCCGCGCCCACGACCAGCAACCGATGCACCCGTGTCGCAAGTCCAACGCGGTGCTGACGCGAATCTGACCCCTGACATCAGCAGCAGCATGGCGCAAATCATCGCATACAGTGAGGGGGGACGAGAGGGGGCCGACCAGAGTGACCCTAGGCGAGAGGGGGCGAGGGGGGGGGGGAGGGGAGGGGGGCGCGAGGGGTCCGAGGGGCCCAGGCGGCGAGAGGGGACGAGGGGTGGGGGGGCGAGGGGGCCGAGCGGCAAGGGGGGAGGGCCGAAGGTGCGGGGAGGGGCCGAGGCGGCGAGAGGGGACGACGGGGTGCGGGGGGCGCGAGGGGACCGAGGCCCCCGTCCCCCGTGTATCACGGGTGCCCGCCGACGACGGGCACTCTCGCGTGCAGGAATCTCTCCACTCACCACGGAGCCCGAAGGGTCGCGGGCGCCGGCGCCTGACCTCACCTCACGCGGGCAGTGCCCACTCCGATCGACGGCGTAGGCCAAACGGTGGCTAATTAGGGGCGCGTGGGCGAGAGACGGCGAGTCTGCGGGCCCCAGGTCGTCGAGAGGCTGCCTCGCGGCGTTCGCAGGACGGCCGCTCACCGCGGAGGCGATCGCACGGCGCGCACAGGGTTGGACACCGCAGAGGGGCCGCGTACGCCACGCACCTCCATCGCGGAAGTGAAGCAGGAGAGAGAAGCACAGACGCGTGAGGCAGAACCAACTGTGCAGACAGCTACCTCTGAGGCGTCATGTCTTGATTCGTCCTGCTCCTCCTCCTCCTCCTGATCATGCTCCGCCTCCTCATCCTGCTTCTCTCCTCTCCCCTCCTCCTCCTCCCGCCACTCGTTCATCACCCGCCACCTCCTCCCACTACTGCCCCTCCCCCTTCTGAATCTCCCCCCTCCTCCTCTCCCTCGCCTTCGCCCTCCCACCGTCCCTCCCCCTCTCGGTGCTCCTCCGAACGTGTGCTAGCGCCAAGGAGCGCTTGTCCACCGAGGCGCTTCAACACGACCTATAGGCGGCGCAGCGAGCGCCGACTCGGGCTGCGCGCCATCGGCGGACCCGAAGAGGGCAAACACACGATCGGGCGAACACACGTCCTGCGCATCGCCGACCCTCTCCGCTCCGTCCGCGTCCCCCCCGCGGCCTCGGGCTCCTCCTCGGGGGCGCCGGCCAGGCACGGGGGCACCTCGCCGAACCACAGCCCGTCGACCGCCTCGATCAGCGGGCCGCAGAGGCAGCCCGTGCGCGAGTGGCCGCTCCCCCTCGGGGTGCCGCGCTCCCTCGGGGTGCCGCGCGACGTCTGGAAGTACTGCGCTGAAGCCGCGTCGTTTGAGGCGCTCGAGCCCGGGACAGCGGCAAGGCCTGCCGCCCGGAGCGGAGGTACGCCGGAAGGCTCAAGCTCACGACGGCCACGGACGACGGGAAGGCGTGCTGCACTGGACTGAGGTACGCAGAAGGATCAGGTTCACGGCAGCACAACCAGCGAACCGAGCGGCCAGGGACGACGGGAAGGCCTGCTGCACTGGATTGGGGGTGCGCAAAAGGAAGAAGTCCACATCAGCACAACCAACGAACTGAGCGAGCAGACGGCCCACGGAGCGCAGAGAGATCCGCATGAAGCAAGCGGCGGGGAACATACCCGGTCCCGAATTGCACAACAAACGATCAGATTCTGGGAATGGTCAGATAATCGAAACACGTAGGCTTTCTGAATGTCTTCGGCTCCGGGAGTCCGAACAGGCCCCACGACACGAGCTCACTTGTGCCAAGACGGCCCCCGAACCGCCAAGATGCGGCGCTGCGGCCCCTGAGAGGCCCCAAGAAACCCTCAGTGGGTCTCCAGTAGTCTCCCGAGAGACATCCCAAGAGACCCTAAGAGGCACCCAACAGGCCTCTGACCCCAAATCTAGGCGCGGTGGCGAGACGGGCCGACGGCAGCCAGGTAGCCCTGAGAGAGAATGACAAGCAGTACCTAGAACACATCATAGGAATAGAGCCTTTGAATACTCACCGATCATAGTGAGGGGGCCAAGCGGCCTTACAGTCTCACAATGTCCCTGGGAGCGTGGCTGACAGGAATTCCGCGATGCGCGTTGCTGTCGTCGTCGCCGCCTCCCGACCCGCCCGGCGACCCATCTGCGACCCGCCCGAACCCCCACCCACGACGCACCCGCGGCGCGACCCGCCTGCGACCCATCCGCGTCGCGACCCGCCCCCCCACGTTGCCTCACCCAAGTCGGCGCCTGTGGCGAGCCGACCCACACATGCTCTTAAAGTCCGAATCCGCACCTGTGGCGTGCACCGCTTTTGGAGACCCCCCCCCCGGTGCGACTCGGCCCCGCCCCTCCCCTCACTCTCGCCCAATCCCAAAAAAGTAGAACCAACCAGCAGCCGTGGCGTGCAACTGCGATGGCCTGGGTCGTGATTGAAACAAACATGGGATGCCCTCAAGTAATGCTGCTGGGGCGGCTTAGTCGGCGGGTCCTTCGTCATCTTCTGGGAACTCAGCCTTGTGCTTGCGCACGAGGTCGTGCACTATGTCGGAAACAGCCTTCATGATGTGGTTGTGCGATTCCTCCATATTCCAAGATATGGACACTCCGATGACGCACTCACCCCAAGCGGACTTGAAGAACTGCTTGTACTCATCCTCGAGCTTGTCGCTGGAACTTCGACCAAGGTCCTCTTCCGCCTCCTCTGGAAACCCACGGCAAGTCACAGCGTAATCCCGCATGTCCGTAGTGCCGTCTTCATGTCGAATGAATCTCCTGTGGGGGGGGGGCGTGCGTAGTAAATCTGACGAATGCCATTGCGTGCGACGATCTCAACATACACAAGGTCTTCGATCTATTCTCCCAACGGGGTATGCAATACGAGACATCCCACAATGACACGTGTCACCCCCGAAAACGGTGTGACACCAACTAAGTGCCACACTTGCATTCTGAAAAACAATATCGGGCCATGTGACATAAGAAACCGCCAAGATGACACGTATCACCCCGAACACCGTGCGAGAAACCAATCGTGCCTCTTGTATTATGCAGCCTAACACGGGGCGCAATACAAAAGAGCACCAGAGTCACACGTGTTACCCCCAAAACCGCGTAACAAAAACCAACTCGGCGTGTATTCTAAGGCGCCCACGAAATCCAAAGAGGCCTCCAAGAGGCCCCCCAGAGGTCGCCAGGATGGCCCTGGGAGTCTTTGAAAAAGCCCTGGGCGTCGTGCCAGGGGGTGAAGGGTTGGGCGGAGAGGCGAGGGGAGGAGAGGGAGGAGGGAAAAAGGGGCACGGAACATGGAGAAGGCGGCGACGACGAGAAGAGACACCCCGACACGACGAAGAAGAGCGTGTCACATGTTACGACTCTCCCTAGCCTCGTTACTATCGTTGTTACGACTTTCTCAAACCTCGGGGCACGAGGTGTCACACGTTACGGCTCCCTGTGCGCCCCTCAATTGGTCGCCGCCCGGAGTGCTGGGATGGCACGGTGGCGCGACGTGCTGCAGGCAGCTGGATGACAAGCACGCAACGCTGCGACGTCACTGTCCTGCTGGATCATCCGTTTCGCTTCCATCACCTCCCCGTCCTCTTCCTATCGACGCTCATGCCTTCGAGGAAGGGCCATCCCTGGTAGCCCCTTGCATATCCCAGGCAGCCCAAGAGCCCCCGAGCCTGCCCCAAGACCCGCCCATCACCAACAGGTCTGACGCCTTGGCACAGATTCGCCTCGCAAGCCCAGGTAAGTACAGGCGAGCACTCAAGCGCTATCTGGTGGCGTCGAGGCTTGCCAAGCACCGCTGCGATTGCGGACGTGCTGCCGGCTTGACCAGGTCCTCGCCAAGGCTATCCACGGTCTTCGGCTGTTCGCATAACTCGGCTGCGCGCAGGGGCGAACCTGGGCAATCGTGTCCTCCAGTGCGCGGCTTGCCGACAACAGCAGCCTGTGCTCCTGGGTTTGCCCCCTCCGCGCAACCCGAAGGCCGGGCACCCTGGCAAAGCTCACTCTTCAACGCCCCTCTAACAGTGACTCCACTGACGGGCACTTTGGCCAGTGACCCGGCGAACCCCAAACCCTCCCCGATGTGGGCAACGCTGCCTTGCCTGGAAGAGGCCCGAAAATTACAACTTCCAGCAGCTTTCCAAACTACCCTTTAGCGAGTACCCCTTACGGTGCCGCTGAACTCTTACGCCTTGGCGGCGGCTGGGGGGTCTGCACTGGTCGGGGCCCGAGACAATCGCTCAGGAGGTGGGGATGACGCCAACTCCAGTCGTCAAAATCGGCCACCGGACCGCGCCCGCGGTCCGTGGTGCAGATTTTCACCCCGGCGCCGTGTTTCCACCGTTCTGCGGCCCGAAGGCGGTCCCCGGAGGCCGAAAGAGGCAAAGTCTGGTCGAAGCCAGAATCTTGAACCCCCCCCCTCCCTGCTCGTTGGAACCAACGCTGGGCAACCTCTGGACCTCCAGCCAGCTCGAAACTCTCTCTCGTGTAGCCAGCGAACTCCCGCGCAGAGAGGAAGAGAGAAGAGAGAGAGAGAGAGAGAGCTGCGGCCGCGATTGGGGTACCACCGCCCCTTCTAGATCCTCCTCCTCCTCCTCCTGCTCCTCCTCCTGTACAGTCAACCCGTATCATAAGGATGCGGCGTAAGGATGCAATGTCCTTGGAGGGTCACGTTGGTGTTTTCGAACGAGGCTGGCAAGCGAACGTCGCTAAGTATGGGGTCCGCAGGCTGACTGCACGGCGCGACCGCAGCCGCGCCCGGGTACCCTTTGGGAGCCGGCGCCGCCGCGGCCCGCCGCCCGCGGCCGCGGCGCTGCGCTCGGGTGCCGCGGGCCTGGCCATCGCTCGGACGTCCATTCCCTGTGTTTTTTGTTTCGGTTTCGTGCGTGGCTTTTTCGCAGGATGATCCAGGATGCTCCTTCATAATCCCCGCCGAGCAAAAGTGCACACGTCCGAGCGATACCAAGGGGCGTGGCAGCGGCCCCCACGATCGGGGCCGCGGTCCCCGGGCCCCCGCAGCCGCCCCGCCCCCCCGCCGTGCTGTCCGGGCCCCCCCCGCGGCCGCCCAGGCGGCATTCTGTGGCAACCCCGCGGCTGTCTCCAGGCAGCCTCGCCGCTGTCTCGGGGTCGCCTGCGAGCTGCCTCGCGGCGACATCGCACCTGCGTTAGCCGTCGTCTCGTGACAGCCTCGCGGCCGCTGGTGTGATCCACAGCTGCAGACGTCTAAGCGCCCAAACTCGCAGCAGCGGGGTGACCACATCATGCCACCACCACGCAGCTGCACGCACTAAGCTGCGGACGCGCACAGCAGCCTGTAACCTCCAACCAGGGACAATAAGCACTATCAATCGGTGGTGTTCACCCTTCGGGATGAGATCTGCACACTGGAAAACAACATCCTGCGCGCGAAATGCCGCACGCCCCACCCTTCTGCTTCGATCTCTCCTCTCCGTCCTCTGCGCCCCTCTTCCGCAAGGCCACTCCTCTGCTGCCACCAGGCCCAATAAACTGCACCGATCGAGGACACCACATAGACGATCCCGGTCAGCCAGAGAATGCTTATCCTCGCGCGACGAGCGCCGAGGGGAGAAGAGTGGGGACGCTCGCTGCGGCAAGCATGCGGAGGCGTGGGCAGAACAGGCAAGCAAACTGCCAGTGATGAGGGGCGTGAATTTGGAACGTCAAGGAAGCAGGCCGAGGGGACAAATGAAGGGAGAGGATGACGACCTGGGAGGTGCGGCGCCGCCAAAGAACGATGACGGCATTGGACCGCGCAAGCCTAGGTCACCCAACTTCCGCGTCGCGCGCCGCGATGCGCGACGCGCACCGCCGATGCAGTTCCCCCTGAGCCACCGCCCCACCTGTCGGCTCTATGGCGGCCCTGCGGGACGATTCGGGCACCCCTGGAACGCTCTCGGCGAGGCGCCGCTGCTGGAGGGCACCCCGAGGCTTGAACACCGCCGAGAACCGACGAAACACCCGCAAACCTCAAAAACTCGAGGGGACGCACGTGGGCGGTACCACTGGTGGCTTGGGTGGAGCTCCCTATGGGGTCACGAAGCGCTGTACTCTGGCGGCGCGCACAAGGGGGTGGGGGGAGGGGGGAGGGCTTCGTAGAAGCAGGCTGCTGCTTAGGAGGCGCCGGCCTTCCATCTATAGATAAGGCCCGCGCCTTCTAAGAAGCAGGGGTGCTTCTAAGAAGCCCTCCCCCCTCCCCCCACCCCCCTCTGCGCGTGGCTGAGTACTGGGTGGGTGAAAATGCCAAACTGGGCGTGGGGTGCGCCTGCGGGCGGTCCCACTGGGGGCGTCGGTGGAGCTCCCTATGGGGCCACGGAGCGCTGTACTGGGTGGGTGAAACTGCCAAATTCGGTGTGGGGGGCGCATGCGGGCGGTCCCACTGGGGGCTTCGGTGGAGCTCCCTGTGGGGCCACGAAACGCTGTGCTGGGTGAGTGAAACGCATGGAAGAAGGAGGAGGGAGGGGAGGAGGAGGAGAGGAGGAGAGGAGGAGAGGAGGAACGCGGGGCGACGTCTCTTCAAAACGATGACCCAACACCACAGGATGGTTGGGAACAAAACGCCTACCATTATTGAGCGTGGCGGCCCTTTGTGGGAATCGAATTGCCCATCGTCCTCATCCCCCTCCTGTTTCCTCCTCCTTCTCCTTTTCATTATCCTCCTCCTCCTCCTACTACTCCTCGTGCCTTCTGCTAAGGTGGAGGAGGAGGAGGAGAAGGATGAGAAGGAGTAACGTTATGAAGAGGAGGAGAAGGAGGAGGAGGAGGAATAAGGTTTCCCTCCTGGGCTACCCTCCACGGGAAAGGAATTTCGAGCTCGCTCGTAGGAAGGCTTGCAGTAAGAATCGATGCATCGGAGGAGGAGGGGAAGGAGGAAGAGGAGGAGAATGAGGAGGAGGATGAGGAGGAAGAGGAGGAGGAGGAGGGAGGGAGGAGGGATGGCCAGCTTATTCACCGCCGCGAGCTCCAGAGGGGAGGGGGGGGGGGGGGGCAAAAACTAACTTCTTAAGGTCATGCGAAGTCCATACGACAACACGTGTACATCAGTATTATTGTCTCTCGAGGGTGCTCTGAGGATTGCTCGTCGGGCCCCCTGTGCCCGTCAGAGGTTCAGGCGTCTTGGAAGTGTTCGAGCTACGCGTGGGCCCTCTTGGACCGCTCTGGTTGCTTGTTTCGTGCCCCCCAAGACTGCTCTGAGCAGCCGAAGGCAGACCCGAAACATCCGCGGAGTAAGACGGGAGGCAACCGGGAGCGCGTGCCGGTCAGGGGCCTGGGCCCACGGTACCCCGGCACATTAGATGCTCTCACATACAGACAGGTCCGCATGATGAGAAAGGAGGGCGAGGGAGTGCAGGAAAGAGCAGTAGTTGCGCAGGCCATGCGGGTGGAGCTAGAACTAGCGATCGCTGCAAAATCAGGCGAGATAGAGAATATCTCAGACTATATACTGCCCATCCACTCACGGAGAAAAGACAGAGTAAGCAGACAACGGCCCGGAAATCCTTAGCGCTTCGGCATGCTCCTCGGCCAGAGGATCCAATCGATCCGAACAAGTACCTTCCGCCTCGTCATGTAGGGGGTGCCCGAAGATGTCCAAAACATTCAGCCGGCCATGGTAATAGACCTTTGTCGCCGGCGCGCCGAAAGGGGGGAAGTGAGAGGGGGAAGGCCTCTCCAGACGGCGGCGGGGCTTCTCAGAAGCCCTCCAGACACTCAGGAGCCCTCTGTGGCTTCGGAGAGCTTGAGAACTCGTCCGCCAAGGCCAGGGGCCTCCTGAGCATTCTGAGAGGGCTCGACCCCTCTGCGCGGCCTTGGCGAGCCGCCGACTTCCCCCCGCTCGAGTCAAGAGTCTTGCCAGTCGTCCTCACCGTTCCCCCCACTTCTGGACATTCTTTCCCTCCCGTCACCGCCATACTCCGCCCATTCCCTCTCCTCGTCTCCCCCCTTCTTGACGTCCCTCCCCCCCCATCACTGCCATACTCCGCCCACTCCCCCTCCTCTTCTCCTCTCTCCCCCTCGTGTGCCGCCACCGCTCTGATCCTCTCACAGCCAGCGTGCTGCCACGGGGAACGCCGCGTCAGGAGCGAAAGGGGGCTTTTTGTTGCTGGCCACGGCCAGCCTCGGCCACGAATGGCCTCCCCGACCTAGCTTTAGCTCGGGCGTGTCCCCCTACAGGGGGATCTTGAGCGACAGAAATCACAACAAGTGCCAAAAACATGTTCGAAACTAATCAAGCAACAACGTCCCCCGACTATTTTTAACGAACTATTCTTGGATATCCCCCCTGTAGAGGGACAGGCCCGACTTAAACCTAGATCCGAGGAACGGCCCAGCAAAACAGTGCCCCTCCCGAGCCCGACAGGGTATCTCGGCGTCGTGACCACACTGCATGCAGGGGTGCTCAGCACCCAGACAAGTGAACAACGCCTCCACCAAAAGGCACTCTGCAGTGGAATCGCCGCTACTTCCGGAGGAGCGCCCACTGCGCAAGCTCAAATGCAAACCCAACTCTGGCATGTCTCGAGATCTGGGACGAGAACCGTGCACGCGGGAGGCCCAAACAGCAGTGGGTTCCCAGCGTCTACGCGGCGCTCAAGGTGCGAGCTGCACGGGGCGCCTGCGCTCCGTTGTGCCGATGCGCCGTCCGGGCGCCAGGCCTGCCTGCGTGCTTGCTCTGCTGCGGGCGAGCATCGAGAGGGAAGGAGCAGGAGGCGGGACGAGGAGCAAGGACGCGGAGAGCGACTGGCGTCCCGATCATCGGTCGCAAGAAGGAAGCCGCTTCTGCGGCCCGCCCGCCCTCGGCCCTGGACCACTCCCATGGCCGCCACCGTGACTGCCGCGCTCCACAGCAGCACCATCCGCTGCCAGCTGAAGTGCAGCGACGCTCCGATGCCTCCTGCCGCCGTGGGCGGGGGGACAACAAACCTACCGCGCGCCGCTGCTCCACGGAACCTCGCCCGGCGCTCGCTCTGACGAAGATCTCGAGGAGGACCCTCCCTCGGGGGCGTCCAGAGAGGGGGGCGTCCAAGAGGGGGACGTCGCAAATCATAGCCGGCGGCATGTGCGCGGCCCAGCGAGGGGGGGGGGACGGGGACGTAGTGAAACATAAGAGGAGGCGCCACGAAATCTGGTCACCCCCCTCTTGGCCGCCCCCGGCCGACGATCTCGAATAGAACCCTCCCGCGGCGACGAGGGCTCCCTTTGGGGCCGAGCAGCGGCATCGGCAGCGGCTCCTCCTCCGAGCAGGGAGGGGGGGGGGGGGGGGGGGGCGAGCCCAAAGGCGGGACGGGCGGCCCCCCGGGTCGGCCGCTCGATCTGCGCCAGCCCTCCCGCCGCCCGGCAGCCTGCTCTGGGCGCCCCCGCGGGGCACCAGCAGCACGCGCAGGAGGCGGGCCGGGAGGTCGCGCCTCCCGGCCGCACAGACCTCGCGCGCACGCGCTCGCTCCCGAAGCGCGACCGCCTCTCCACGCCCCCGCGGGCGACCTGGCTGCTCCTCCTCTCTTGGTCCTCCGCCCCCGCCCGCCCCCGGGTGGGCGGAGAAGCTGGAGGACCAGACGACTCGGCAAGCGACGAGTCGGGCGCTTCGCGAAGAGGGGAGGAGAAGCAGGGGTCCTCGTTCTCGTCCCCCTCTCCTCACCGTCCCCTCTCCCCCCAGCCCTCTCCGAAGAGCAACGCAAGCAAACCGACTCAACAATGCTGCAAACAAGATGGGCCCCACCGCGACTGTCGCTGCAACATGCAGCATACACAATCACTACTGCTGTTGCCGTCGCCACTCGCGGCATAAGCTAGCCACCATTGCGGAAGCAACGGCCAGCCCCTCCCGACGCAACGACGATCACCCCTCAACCTGACGGGCTTGAAGTCAGCAGGTCGGCAAGACAGAAGCTTCAGGGCGGAAGACGACCTGTGTGGCGCGGCTGTGACCATCCGAATTGACAATGCAGACGACCTCCGCAAAACTGGATTACGGATCCGGGGATCCGACGCGTGGGCGCCAAATCCACGGATCGGGGGCAAAATCCTGAACATGAGGCCACCGCGGTGAAGCGACGGAAGGCGTCGATCTGCAGGGGCGGGAACCACCGCTCGTCCGCGCGCCATGCCCCGGGCTGCGCCGTCCTGATTGTTTCGATACGTCGCTCCCAGGAGTCCAGGCCCCTTCTGCGGGGCCGGCTTGTCATCCCGAGTCGTCTTTGACTAGGGGAACGAACAATGACATCAACATAAAAACTCGGAGGTCCGCGCGGATTTCTCGGATCGGTGCTGGACCCCCCTGCCTGGCGCGCAGCGCGCCAGGGACGTCGCCGGAGGCGCCGCCAGGGGGGTCCAGCGCCGATCCGAGAAATCCGCGCGGACCTCCGAATTTTTAGGTTTATGTCATTGTTTTTTCCCCTATTGACGGTCCCGAGGCCCAGGGAAGGGCCCCCGGAGGCCGAACAGTGCCAAAAACCTGCCGCCGTGACTTGCTTTTACGGCGCGAGCATGCCTTCGACAATCCACGCGACTCGAGGAGGAGGAGGAGGTTGAAACAGGCTCGCGGGGACGAGCACGCACGCCCTGGCGGATCACACTCACGCGCCCTCGCGGGGACGATCTCCGATGTCTGGGCTACACAACCTCGCGCATCGCGCCCCGCGATGCTAGAGGCCTCCTAGATGGGGCCGCAGTAGATTTGGGTCGGGCGTCCCCCTACATGCGGATTTCGGGGGTAAGAAACAATTCTAAAAATGCTCAAGAATGAACCAAACTAGAAGAAACAAAACGTCCCGATACTATTTTGTTGGCTATTTTTGAAGATTCCTCCTGAAGAGGGTCATGCCCGACTTAACAGTAGATGGGGCAGAAGGATCGCGCCGCGTCGCCAATGCATCGCCGATGCATCGGTGATGCATCGGCGAAGCATCGGCGACTCCGGCGATGCGGCGGCGCTGTCAGCGCGCAGAACGTTGGGCCCCGCATCGAGCCGAATCGTCGATGCATCGGCGATGCGGCGCGATACCCCCCCCGGCCCTATCTGGGAGGCCTAGAGTTATGTCGGGCGTGTCCCCCTACAGGGGGATTTTCGACGAAAAATAAAAAATTCACCGAACATGCACCCAAAAAGGCAAACAACTACTCAAAACATAGCCCCAAAACTATTTTTGGACTATGTTTTGACCACTGTTGGACTATTTTTCAATTTTTCGCCGACAATCCCCCTGTAGGGGGACAGGCCCGACTTCAGCCCAGAGCTGCGCGGCTTCCTTCGCGCCCTGGCCTCGGCGGCGCACAATTCGCCGAGCAAAAATCCCAATCGCCTCCAAGACGCCCTCCAACCCAAGACGCCTCCCAGACGGCCCAAGATGGCCTCAAGAGGACGGCAGACGGCCCTAGAGGTCCCCGAGAGGCCTCCAAGACGACCACGAGATGTTCTTAGAACCCAAGAATGCTCTCATAACAAAAACAATAAAACAATGTTCTTAGAGCATGAGCCCGATGTGTTGAAGCACGACAATATCAACCAGACATGTTCTAAGAACATTCCGTGGAAACCACCAAAAAAGTTCTTAGAACACTGTTTGGTAGGGCTACAGGCACGCCGGGACGCCTCGCCACTGCTTGAGATAGGGCGCGTGCGCTGCCCTGCGCCCGAGTGCCCTCCGCCTGCTCCCGTCCTCTGCGGCCGCCGCCCCGTCTGCCTTAGGGCGACGCAATCTATACATATCCACTGCTCCCTGGCCAGGCCCATCCTGAACACAGCAGCTGTGTATACGCCACGCCCTCCTGGTTTGGCCAGGAGGGCGTATACACAGCTCCTGGGTTCAGGATGGGCCTGGCCAGGGAGCAGTGGATATGTATAGATTGCGTCCCCCGCCTGCCTGGCTCCCCCCCTCCTCTTGCATGCCGGCCAGTCCGCGCGCCGGCCCCCCCGACCGCCACCCGCTGGATGACGCCCTTCTGCCTCGCCGCCGACGCAAACAAAGTTGGCGCTCCCGTGGCTGGGCTCGACGGGCGGGGTGGTAAATTGATGAGCCTGTTTTCCACCACCACCACCATGAGTTGGAGGGGGGAAAGATGAGGAGGAGGAGGAGAAGGAGGAGGAGAAGGGGGAGGAGGACCCCCCGCTCCAACTTATGGTGGTGGTGGTGGAAAACACACCCAACATAAATGGGGGGCGGCCCAAAGTGGGGGGGGAAAGAAAAGGGCCCTACAGGGGCCCTCGAGGGCCCCTTTTGGAGCCAGCGGGTACCCAAGAGAAGCCCCACGGAGCCTCCTATAAGGCCTGTTTCTTCCCCCCCCCCTCTATCTGGGTCACCCCCCATTGCCACCCGCCCGGACTCGGACAACATGTCGGACGGCCCGGCTTCCCTGGAGATCGATCCGCGCGTTGAGAGGGGAGGGCGTGGTCCCGCATTGATCGGCGGCGAGCCTGGGGGGGAACTCAGAAGGGGCGGGCCTCCTCAGAAGGCTCGGAAGTCCCCGGGCCTTCTGAGAAGTGTCCAGCATCCCCCGAGGACGCAAAAACTCCTCAGAAGGCGCGAGGGCTTCCGAGAAGCCCCGCCGCTTTCTGAGAAGGCCGTCTCTCCCTCTCGCTTCCCCCCCTCGCTCGCCACCGAATGGAACCTCCATCTTGCACGCTCAGCGCTCGGGCTCTTGACCCCCCAACTGCTGCCATCACCGCGCCGCCACACGGCACGGCTGCATCGGCAACGCAGGCGCTGCCCGGCGAGCCACGACCGCGCTCAGGCTCGCGGAACCCCGGCCTGCAGGGCGCGGCCCGCAGACCGGAGCCCCTCCGGAGCCCGCTGGGTGGCCCTGGCCTCTGCGGTCTCCCTGTGGGCCCGTGCAGAGCGCCCCCCTCTCGCCCATCCCGTGGCAGAAGCGGAGGAGCTCCCGGAAACGTCGTCGCGACAAGGCCTGCACGTCGCCCCCGTCCCCGAGCGCCCACCCACCCCTTCCCTGCGCGTTCAGCCATGGACCACCTGTTGCCCATCAGCCCTGGGCGCTCTTCGGTGATCCTCGGCGGTCTTCTGACGGGCTTCCGTGATCTGCGGCGGTCTTCTGGCGGTTTTCGGCGAACTCCTGGCGGCCTTCGGCGGTCTTCTGGCGGCCTTTCGACGGTCTTCGGCGCGAGAGCTGGCTGGCTGCGTTCAGCGAGGTGCCCATGATCAGACACCTGACTTCCCGACTCCCCACCAAATCCAGATGGCTGCGATGAGACCCCCAAGAAGCAAGAGGCTGCCTGGCTGGTGCGCATGTCTTCGCCTTCATACACAGTGTCTAGTAGGGAAGATCGCAACCAGTCGGGCATCCCTTTGCTGTCGTGGTTGAAAAAACGACGGTATACGCGATACGGTATAAGCATCAGCATTCGCAGGTGCGCGCGGATGTCGTGGACCTGCGCTGGACCCCTCATTCTGGCGCGCTCCGCGCGCCAGGGGCGGCGTCGCCAAAGGGGTCGAACGAAGATCGAAGAAATCCTCCGACTAGTTAAAGTTTAGCAGCGGTCTTTCCCCTTCGACTGCTCGTGGCTGCGCCGAGTCCCCGAAACCACGGATGCGATAGGGGCCCCTGGGGCATCGTGAGAACCAGCCTCTGGGCACCGAAACTCCAGAGATGTGCCACTCGCACGCCGTGCCGTGCCCAGGAGGAGGAGGACGAGGAGGAGGAGGAGGAGGAGGAGGAGGAGGGGAGGAGGAGGAGGAGGATGAGGAGGAGGAGGAGAAGGAAGAGCAGGAGGAGGAGGAGGAAGAGGAGGAGAACACGTGCCCGTGCCCGCGTGCCGTGCCCGTGCCAGTGCCAGCGTGCCGTGCCAGCGTGCCTCCTCCACGGAGGGAGCAGCGGCGTGCGCCGCCCGGTGCCCGTGCGGTGCGCGTGCCCGTGCCCGTGCGCGTGCGCGTGCCGCGCCCATGCCGTGGGCGAGCGGTTCCGTGCGAGAATCCCGTGCCGTGCCCGCGCCGCGCACGCGTGGCGATCTCGACTCGCCACGTGGACGACGGTCGGAAGCGGGTGCTGCGCGAGAGGGCACGGCGGCCTCACGCCGCGGCTTGCGCGGGCCGCCCGCGCGGCAGGCCACACTTGGAGGCGAGGGCGCTTACGCGCGACCCTACCTGGGCAGCTTACGCACCGCTGTCGGCGCAGATGACCCCGTTTTCTTGCGTCGCTCATTTGTCTTCGCAGGCAGCGTTGCTGTTCAAGGCTTTCAGTGCAGGCGTTCTACTATTCCTGGCTGTGTCGATCGTTCTCCTTCGACTGTTCGGGGCTCCGCCAAGCTCCTGCACTGGTCACCGTGTCCGCGAGGCTCAGATTGAGGTCGTAGAGATCGTGGGTCCCGACGTCCTTGGATGAAGCACCACCCGCACAATGAGCACCCCCTACAAGCGGGGGGCTTTCAGCAAACGCTCTGAAGCAAGATAATCGAGCAGGACAGTGCCGTTTATAGAAGAAGAAAAAGCGCCAACAATTCATGTGTATGGCATTTTTCTTCTTCGAGATTAGAAACACCCACACGGCCGCTTTACAAGCGCAAGCCACGGAGGTCGTGGGGGGGACAGAACGAGCACCGACACAGCCACTACCTGGCCCTGCCCCGTGGTTCCTCCTGGCCAGCATTTCGATGAGAATCCAACCGTGGCGACGAGAGGTCTCCAGGACGAGCAGCGGCACAGTGGAGGCCAGTCCACAAGAGATCTTCCCCAAGAAACCCAACCCGACGTCCATTGATTTTTGGTGTGGGAACGTCGCGCTCTCCACAGCAGAACCATCGAAACCCGAGAAATCCAGGGCACCCTGGAGGCAAGCAGGGTGCTTCTTGGCATGGGCCTCCACTGTATCGGCATCTGTTCCCCCTCTGAGGTCAGGCTACTGTTTTCTTGCCCGCCGCTCGGGTCCTCCCTGGCCTTCGACCTCGAGCGATGCTCCAGGCCCCAGTCCAGCGCATTCTGGAGGCAACTTTTGTTAATTCTTCGCAGCGACGCCCGTGACCGGCCCCGCCCCCGCGTCACGAGTCGCACCCGGCGCCGGCTGGGAATGAGACGTTCTTAAGCATTCCAGGACGGTGCCGACACAAATCGTGACGTGACTGGCCACTCCCCTGAGATCTGGCGTTGCCACAAACTGGCAAACTCGCGAGGCAAAACAACCAAAGCGCCATTTATCGAGCAAAATCCATCTGTGAGTCCTGGGGGCCGACTTCGGGCTAACACGCCTGTTTTGCAACCAGAACATTGCAAGGCCAGAATCTCAGGCCCCCACCCCAACACCCCCGCCTCCTTCTCATCCTCCTCCTTGTCCTCCTCCTCCTGCTCCTCCTCCCTTCCGCCGTTCACGCCAGTTGTCGCTAGAGGGAGTAACAAAAAGGTCGCCTGGCTCACCACCGGGCGCCACGCGAGGTGCAGGACGTACAGCAGCACGAGCAGGCCGACGCCCCCCAGGACGGCCATCAGCAAGTGCCACTTCCACGTGGACTTCGACAGGCACTGGCAGGCCGCGCCCCTCATCCGACTCCTCCCCTCCTCCTCCCCCTCTTCCTCCCTCCCCTCCACCTCCTCCTCCTCCTCCTCCTAGTCCTCCTCCTGCTCCCCCCTTCCTTGCCCAGTGGCAAAAGCAGGATACAAGGAGGGAGATTAGGAGGCAACTACTGGGAGGTCTTCGTGAGACCGATTGAAGGCTTTCCAGCTGGACAACGGGGCCATTGAGTCGGATAAAGCCAAATTGGACCCAAACTTAAGTTCGATTCAGCACGGCTAGTTCAAAACTGCGCAAATACCAGGGCCTATGCTGAATTTGCCCTCCCAAGAGTTGCATCCTAAAAAGAGGGGTGGGAGCGGAGGAGCGAGGGAGGAGGGGGACCCTGGGCAGGAGGAGCAGCAGGAGGGGACGGAGGGGAGGATGGGGACATAAAAGCAGGGCACGGGAAGAACGACGGAGGGCCCGGGCGACGGACGAAAGAGCGAGGCGAGAACGACAGCTCGACGCCGAGCCAATGGTAGCTCGTGCAGCGGCAGCCTGTGTTGATATTTTCCCCACAGACTGTGTGTGTTTCCCACATTGTGTTTTTGTTTGTTTTGTGTGCTTGTTTGTGTGTTTGTTTGTGTGTGTGGATTTCCCCACAGTGTTTTTTGTTTTGTTTTTTGTTGTTTTTGTTTTGTGTTTTTCCCACCGCATGCAGGGGCCGCCAGCCCGTCGCTGGCGCGGACGCACCACTCCGCCGCTGGAGAGGCCGAGCGCACGAGGTACGGGCTCGGAGGACGACGACGAGTTGTGCGGTAGGGGGGAGGAGGAGGACGAGGACGAGGAGGAGGAGGAGGAGCAAGAGGAGGAAGAAGAGGAGGAGGAGGAGGAGGAGGGCGTCCATTCTCGATCCTGGATGGGGGCGCGCCCGCATAGCCCCCTTGGGGTGCACCCCAGGGTTTCACCCTGCTCCGAGCGGCCAAACGTCTCGGTGGAGCCCTGGGGGGGTCGGGAGAGAGAAGCCGCCCGCGACGGAGGACGACGAGGAGGGGCAGGGGCGACGATTGGGTGATCGCTCTGGGGACCTTCCGGGAGCCGCTCGCTCCACTCGTGCCGACCGTCGATTCGCGTCGACCCTGAGGTGCTCCCGCGTCGTGCCTGCGTCGAACTGGGGTCGACCTGGAGTGGAACAGGTCCGTTATAACGGACCTGTTCGACTCCAGGAGGAGGAGGAGGAGGAGGAGGAGGAGGAGGAGGAGGAGGAGGAGGGGGGTGCCTCTGAGAGGAGGGCTGGGCGGAGCACGCGGCGGCCGGGGGCTTCGCGCGCGGGCCGGCGCTGGGGGGGGGCCCGGCGGGGCACCTCCGCGGCCAGGGGCCGCGCGGCCGGCCCGGTAGAGATCCACCGGCGCCGCGGCGCCGCCGCGGACGAGGCCGTGGAGGCCACGGCAGCGGGCACTCCGACAGTGCTGTCGTCGAGTTCAAGAGGTGCGCTTCCAGCTGTCCCTGACAAGCACGTTTTTGTGCGAGGCGGGGATTTCTCCAGATCCACCGCCCGGGAGCTGACGCCCTGGTGCCCCAGCGGGCGGTGGATGTGGATATGTGTTTAGCCCCCGGGGGCCCGAATATATCCACATCCACCGCCTGCAGAGGTCCCCGAAAATTGATCCTCCAGGCGGTGGTCATGTATAAATTCCCACCTCGAAGGTTAAGCCATGACTTAAGCATGCTGTTAAATATTTCGATCACTATGGGCACAAGTGTTTGGGCATCTGGAACTTGCGTGGCAGCATGCCTCCTCTCCGCTTGTCGTCCTCAAGGATGTGGAACGAGCGAACGAACGAACATGAACGACCGACTCTGCAGAGGCATGTCAGAAGGATCCTGCGGGTTGCGTTGGAGCTGGGCAGACTGTATATGCCTCCGTGATCAAATCGCTTCTACTGGGCGCTGTGCCGAGAAGAGCTCCCGTCACGCGTGGTATTGGATGCTTTCTAGCTCCCATCCAACCCCTACCTCGGCTGAAATACCCGACGTTTTGAAGGCTGGCCACGAGCGTAGGGTCGGATGATAAGGACGACGAGCCTGTGTTGAATCGCAGTGCGACATCTCGTGGAGACCTCGGGGGCCCCTCCTGAATCAATTTGGCGCCCGAGCCCGCTCTGTTGCCATTATCTTAGATACAAGCGAAGCGCGTCGCAATCGAGAGAGGTGAATACCACTCCTGAAACAATGCGTCCCCTACCTCGTCCTCCTCTACCTCCTCTGCCTCCTCGAGAAGAGAACTTCTCCTCGTCCTCATCATCGTCTCTCCACCGCCCCCGCCCCATGTCCCGCCCCTGAGGCAGGGTCATCAACTCGTCGTTGTCGTCGTGGTCGTCGTCGTCGTGGTCGTCGTTGTCGTCGTCGTCGTCCTTCTGGGTCGGCGGCACAGGCTGTAAGACCTTCACAATACATCCTGCCCACCGCTTGACTGCCTTCACGGCGGCGGAAACCGCCACCACGCCCGCACAAAACGGAGTGCAGAATGCCTGCTAGTTGACTGGTAGGAGTTCTGCCGCACTTCCAGGGCCAGCACCTCGAATCGTGAAATGATCAGAACACCGCCCCCCTTGGTTATGACCTCCAGAGCGCTTCTCGTCCTATATTTGAGGCCTGAAGATGGGCACCAACACAAAAACAGGGGGTTGCCTCCACCAGAGGAAGATGATCCTAGATGTTGGTGTTTGTGGTAATATGTCGGCCATCTAGGTAGCGCGAATATGACCACCATCACCGAAACCAGGATCACCTGCCCTCGGTGGATGTACACCGCCGATACTGGTGTTGGTGTCAAACTCTAAGCCTCCGACTCTAGGCGGCTCGAAACCATTTCAGGATGGCCCCAATAATGCTGCGAGGTGACCAACGACCAGCCCAAGCCTGGGACGGCCTAACGACACTCCTCCGAAGGCTCCTCGATGTCTCCAAAAGGCCCACAAGAATCCTCGGGTCGTCTTGGTCAGGGATCGGGGAGCCAGGACTAGACAAGCGAGTTCCACCACTCGCAAAGTAAAAACTCGAATGGCCTGGCGCCGCCGAGGATGATGTACGGTCAATTGCGTCGAGGCGAACATGTTTCTCTGGACGATTGCGAGAGTGGAGCGCGCCCGGTCCGGTGAAGGACATTACACACCAGGATTGTGAACATCCCGGCTGCAGAGGACGACTTTGGAGACTGTCTCGACCCACACGCCGTAGTTTTCTCGGGCGCGCCGCTGTCATTGTTGATCGACGTCCTCGTTTGCGGTGCCCCGACTTGGGCGCGATGGTTCTCCCGAAGCAGTCGAACCACCTCACCATGTTGACAAGAAGCCCTCGAGAGGCCTCCAAGATGCCTTCCAGAGGAAAGAATATTGAGGATGACTATTGAAGACGACGCCACCGGGGACACTGGGGGTGTGGTCAAGACCCGCGCTGGTTCCGGCGAGGAACTGAACCGAAACGCTTCTGGAATTCAATCGTCTTCTCCGTCTGCGCTGTTGCGTTGCATTAGCAAGGCTGCGGGATGCTCCAAAAGCCGCTGCAGATGGATCCTGCCGCTGAGCTCCTGGAGCCTGGCGCCCGCGCCACTGCATTCGACACAGATGAAAAAATACCTCGCGCCCGCCGAGAGCACGAGATGAGCCGACTAACGCATTGCCACCGTCGTCTCACTCAGAGGTCGCATGCTGGATCTTGGCCTCCATACAGTACACCCTAGGGATCTTAAGCATCGCCTAGGGTGTAGGGGCCCGACCACAAAAACCCCTCCACAAGAATCCCAACCCTGAAACCCTAGGGCGTTCACTGATGTTTGGTGCGGGAGCGCCACGCTCTCCACAGCAAAACCATCGACACCCAACCCAGGGCACCCTGGAGGCAACCAGGGTGTTTCTTGGCATGGACCTTCACTGCAGGCGTTACAGCATGCCCTGGCATGGCACGGTCGAGGTCCGCCGGGACCTGCCGCCGAGCGCCTAGCCTCCCCGATGCACGTCGAGGCGAGGCCGAGCCATCCAGAGATCGCGCCGAACTCCGAGGGAAGGTGGCCGCGAGGTCGGTGCTCATCCATGTCCACCGCCTGGGAAATCGATGTCCTGGGACCCCGGGGGCGGTTGATATGTATATAGCGTGGCCCCAGAGGGCCTGGCTAGAATCAGGTCGGGCATGTCCTCCTGCAGGCGGATTTTGGAAGTCAAATAAAAAAAAGCCAAAACAGATTCAAAAGTATGAGAACACAATCGAAAATCGTGATCATAGCATCCTTAAACTATTTTTGAATTTTCCTCCTGTAGAGGGACCTGCCCGCCTTAAGACTAGATCCATATCCACCGCCTGCCGAGATCCCCGAAGATAGATGTTCCAGGCAATGGATGTTGAGAGTTTCTCGCCTTGACTTCAGGAGAGGCGCAGTGGCAGCTGCGCTTAGTTGGCAAGACGAAACACTATAATTACACCAAGTGTGTCACAGGGCCGAAAGATACGCAGATCAGCACCGAGGCAGCCCTTAGCTTGGTGGGCCCAAAAACGGTGCGATGACCACACCGAGTGGTGAGTCAGTGGGGATTCGGGATGACCGCACGGTGTTGGGACTTGGATCGTTTTCTGTTGACTGTACATGCTAATCTGTAGCCCCTTGGTCCAAGTAAAAACCATCGACATGGTAGCGGAGCGGCGTGGGTTCGTTCCCGCTGCCGCTTCCCTTCCAGCCACCCGCGGCGGGCGCGCGCGCCCGCGATAGGGCGGCGGCGGAGGCCGCGCCCTGGCGGCTGGCAGCGGCGAGGGCCGCGCCAGCCGGCCCTTCATAGCCCAGCACGCCGCCGAAGAAGAAGAAGAAGACTAAGCGTGGCTCGAGGTCGAACAAAGCAGACATCCTGAGGAGTAGGAAGTTCGACGAGAAGCTCGATCTGAAGTATGGAGGAGATCGAGAGACGCTTCCAGGCGCTCGAGGGAGCGTTGCAGGCTGCAGAACAACGGGTGCAGGCTGCAGAGGAGCGCGCCCTGGCGG